ATGAAAAAATAAAATGATATTTTATTTAATATATAAGATCTTATATAAAATATAAATATTTTATTGTTTTATTTCTTGTTTTAGAAATGTTTTTTATTATAGATACAAGGTGATATGAATTTTGCATCCCTGGGATGGACGATACACCCAAAGTGTCACTTTTTGGGATAACAAAAATTTATATATATGAGAGTCTGCAAATCATATGCACAATATCTATTCTGCCTGACTTCTTTGTATATAGGAGTCAGGCTGAATAGATATTGTGCATGTGGCAATTAAAGTATTTCCAGATTGCCATCGTGCGCTATAGTACACTACTTCTCCTTGGTCCTAGCTTGGTTCCAAGATATCGGTGTTCAAGGATTTGGCAAGGTCCTTCTGAAGTCTCTCATTCGATGAGAGATTCGGAAGAACCTTGCTTAGAGTATCCAAACTCTTGTTCTCTTGTCCTGAATAGTCAGAAAAGCTATTTGACTACTTAAGGGCAGGATTATCCGAGAAAAGATCATTTGAAACTGATGTTCAGGTATTCCCGTATACAGGAACCGGAAAAATGCATATGTATAAAGCCTACCTAGAAGACTTAGACGCAATAAAGGCTGAAATGCGCAGAAGTCTGTTGAATAAGAATATTGGAAGAAAAACAAAGGAAATAGAAGAAGACAACGATGATCACCAAGACAGAACTTACTGGAATACAGAATTTCCGGAACATGTTCCTGAATTTACAAGAAATATTATACATACTATTATGGAAAACATTTGTAGAAAAGATAAAAGAGGTTATAGATATGGAGGTGAAAGTGAATTGGTAGATTTGGCATTCTTAATACATAGCAAATCACCAGCAGCATATGATGTTCTCTTGGAATTTTGTTTACCTTTTCCTACGCCTGTAACATTGTACAATAGGTTTCATGAAGACATAATGAATATGAAACAGTTTGTTAAACATGCTGAGCTCATTCCGCGAATGTTAGAAAGCATGAACTATCACGTAGAAAATACACCTGAATATGAATGGGCAATAGCAATAGATGCAGTTGCACTCTCTACCTGGTCCTCTAAAGACCAAAAAGGTCCTGTTGATGAAAATGGAGAAGAAATCAAATACTTATTCATATTTCTTGGTATGCCCCTAAATTTTGATGCGCCAAATGTTATATTACATGTTATAGAACATGCCAATGGGTTTGCAAGTGGAATTATCCACGAAATTGATGCAGCAATCGAAGAAATACGAAAGCACTTAAGAGTTAGAGTCATCATTACTGATGGAGATCCCGGATATGATAAGCATCAAGATGAATTTATTAATGAAATTTTGCAAGGTAATGATCCCGAAGAAATATTTAAAAGAGCTACTGCTATCTTAAAGAAAGGAGATCAAGTTGTATGGATTAATGATCTCATACATATGTCAAAACTTGAACGTACCAGATTACTCGATGCAACACTTAAGCTTTTAGTTCATCCATCTGATCTGAATACAATTGTTGATGTTAACAAGATCAGAGATGCAATCGAATTAGGTGATGCTCTTAATGATACTTCACCTCTGGGAAGGATAAAAGATAAATATCCGATCACAATATTTTCAATTAGAGCTGTAAAGGCGCTTCTAGAAAAAAACTATTATAATGAAGCATTATTCATAGCTCCACTTGCATTCTGGTATGAAAGCATACGAAATGAGGCATTTAATGCTGACACAAGATGTCAAATGATGTGGTTTGCATATCTGCTCTTGGTACATCATTGCATTCAAATGAGAGACCGTCACATTAAGACAAATCTTGGTGTTGTCAAAATAGACGGAAACATTTATCCGGTCTATTATATGGGAACTTGGGAAGTTGTAAAGCATCTTACAGCAACAATCATTTGTTTCCAATATTTTTTCAGTATTAATTCAACATTTTTCAATTTTTCTCATTTGACAACCATGACGGAAGAACATTTGAATGGTTTACTTCGCGTCATGGCTCATTTTAAGTATGATTTGTCAACAACCGAAACATCTATTGCAGAATGTAATTTAACACTCAAAATTCATAAAAAATACGATATTGACTGGAAAACCCATTCACGTGACTATCAAGCTGGTATTACATTTGAAGACATTTACACAATGCGTCAAGATTCACGTCAATATGAAATGTGCAAAGAATATGCATATGCCTTGTTATCCAAATGTGGATTTAGATATAATAGTAATTCCAGCGTTGATGTATTGCTTAGTTGGGTGAATGAAATTAATCAATTTCACTCAAAAATTTTAATGTCAACACATATATCAAATCCAATTTCAGGTTATAGTATTTTTTCACGTTTATCTGTCAAAAAAGATGTTTTTGACAACCCAACCAAAAAAAATCACGCAAGAAAGGATTAAACGATTTAGATCCTCATAATGACAAATCTGATCCTCTTGAAAATGATCCATTATATGAAGAAAGCCATATTGCTCAATTATTCCCAGAAAATGTCATTTTACCATCAAATTTTGCCAAGAAGGCAAACAAATTCAGCGATTTTGAAACATACATTCATAATACATTAAGTAGATTTCATAACGGGATCACATATGAGAATCTAGAGTTTGCTATTCTAAATGCGAAACGTCATCCAAAACACATTGTTGATCTCATAAATAAAGGCAATTTTTCACAAATCTTAAGGAGTACACTTCGCACAATGACAATTGAAAACAAAGTGAATTATAGTCATGTAACCACACTCTACTTCGCTGCATAGCTCTCAAAATAGAGCTCCTTTATTATAACTATCATAAATTTCAAATCTCAGATTGAAATATTCGTTAAATGATAGTTCTTTTGTATATTTGTATACTATTTTGTTTGTATTAAACTTGTTTGTTATTTTTAGTCACAAATTATATTTTTTAAATTTAATTAAAGTAAAAATTCCTTTAATGGTAATGTTCGAACATTGATTACAAGTAAGGGTTTCGTTTTGCTAAAATTGTCACTTTTATAGCATATTTGTTTTTGGATGTTTTGCGAAACCAAAAAAAAAAACTATGATATACAATGTGTGTGTAAAGAAAATACTTTATTTACTAGTTAAAAAATCATTTGGTATTGATCAAGTTATTTTTTCTGGATAAGATATTATATGGATAATTGGATAGAAAATACAATTATATAATCTTGTACCTGGTTTAATTAAGCTAATTGTCATCAGAAACTTGTAATTTTTATGAATTTCAGATTTTCTTTTCATTACTGCTTTTCTTAATAGGTCAAGTTCTTATTTACGTTATAAAGTATGATATTTACAAATATCAAGTTATCATGTTTTTTGAGAAATTATGAGAAACAAACAAAAATGAAAAAGATAGGAATAGCAATGAATAGTGATGTGGGTATAGAAAATGTAAGAGATATGAATGCAAAGCAATCAGTATTTAGGATATTGACCATAGATTTCGAAAAAAAATGCTGCATATTGAGCGAAAACTATGATTATATTATAAGGCTGTCATTTAAAGCATAATGAAACTATTCCCTTTTCATTTTAATCAAATAAGATAGTAAAGATTTTTGAATTAGCTAGAAACTGATGAGATGTTTTCACAAATCAGATTTTTAATCTCTATAATGCATAATTCACTCAATATCTCAATTTTGATATTGCGAGATATTTTTGCTATCGGTTTCGCAATTTTGACACAATAGCAAGAGGGTTCTATAAGCATTATTATCAACGTAGAATCTGAATTGTTGTAAACAGAAATTCATCAAAAGTGACACCTCAGAAAAGCTAAAATATTGAATTTTTGGAACTTTTGATAGAGCACGTTTTTAAATATTAATTAAAGTAAATGTATATTTTGTAAAGATTCTTTTTAATAAAAAATAAAATTTTGAAGAAGAACACAAAATCTTCTGAAAAATAATATCACATAAACTCATATTATTTTCTAATATATAACTATTTTATATAAAAATCAAATTCAATGATCTTAAAAGCGAAGGATAAACCTCAAAATTTACGAATATAATGAGTGGGAATATAATGCTTATCTATCATAAAACCATATGAAATATCAATTTTTGCTTTACGCCTATTCCCACTCATTATATTCGTAAATTTTGAGGTTTATCCTTCGCTTTTAAGATCATTGAATTTGATTTTTATATAAAATAGTTATATATTAGAAAATAATATGAGTTTATGTGATATTATTTTTCAGAAGATTTCATTCTATATGCCTATGAAAAGTACTCTCAAAACTAACTTTTTCCTAATTATAATTAAATCTGGAATATTGTATTATGCTTAGTATTATTTCATTTTTCTCATTCAATTTAGAATTTACAAATGTCAAAAAATTGAGAGCTGTCACTTTTGATGAATTTCTGTTTATTACAGAATATCATATCAGAAAATATCGCAAATCTGACATTTACCCGACCAAATAGCAAAAATAATTGAATACTTTTCGCAAAAACTTTAAAAATCGATAAAAATATGAAATATAGATATTAAAGAGACTTTTTATATAATATTCATAAAGATTTTCCAAAAATATGATACCGCAAAATTAAAAAAGTGACGTCTTGAGTGGAGTCAAAGGTCGAAATTGCTAGCTAAATGTTTTTTTAGCGAAATTGCGTATTGTACGTTTTTTCGCAAAACGAAACCCTTATTACAAGATAATTAAAATATATGACCTCATTATAAATGAATTTTAACTCTAGATAATTGAGAAAGCTACAAATTGTTTCTAAATCTTGAAATTATTCGATGTCAATCTAATTTTTCTTGTTATAGCCTACTTCTATGGTGTACAAGTTGTCATAATTACTATTTTAAAGTGTAAAACATGCTTATATCAATCAGGACGTTAAAATGGAAAAGTACATACCAAGCAAATGTTTGGATTTATATGCGACAGCCTTTTTAATGGATGTGACAAAGCGTTTCAATATAGATTTTGATTAAAGCATAACTGCAAATTATAATTTGACTTTATATGTACCAATAATAATGGCAATTATGAGTTTTTTTATATAAATTATATCACACCGCTTCTAGTAATTTTTAGCTTAAGCATATCATCGGCTAATTTTCAAAAAAAAAGAATTTCAAATTTTAATCCAAATTCTTTTCTTAAAATTCACAATCAAATTACAGCTTATCTTTAATAGTCTTATTCATTATATGCTTTTTTTTCGGCTCCATAAAAGTCATAAATTTTTCCATCATAAATTTGTTAGAAATTGGGTTACCATTGCCAAACATTTGGATAGAAAAAGCCCAATAAATTATACCCAAAGCATCCAAACATGAAGATATCATATAAGAAATATAGTTTAATTCAGTAATTCCCTAAAATCTAAAATGTTTAAGAACGTTTGTTCAATATCTTACAATCTAATTCACAGATTTAGCATATGTACTACGTATCAAATATACAATGTGATCTCTCAATAAGCTTAGAAGGTTAATTATTAAAATTAAATAAAATTCTACAATTAGCGAAAAATAATACGGCAGATAATATGCTTATAGGTAAAGAAATTCAAAGAGCATTCCTTAAATTTTTTCGAAATTTATCAAAACTCGAAGGTAAATCATCGAGTGATATGCGAAAAAAACTTTTTTATTCTATTAATGATAATAAATATATTAGCCATATTAAAACTTTTCATTTTTTAAAACTCATAGAAATACGTTTGATATTCTTCATTAAGAACATATAAAAACGAGTATAATTATCATAATCTGTTAATTTACAATATAAATGCTTTTCTGCTTGTAGTAAATATCAAATAAGAAAATAATAACATTATAAATTTTTCAAATAAGAATATATTATCTAGCATCTAAGCATGAAGATATTTAGAATTTGGATATCTAAATTCTGCTTAGATTACTTTCAAAATATAAGTCAATAATCTTTGATTTTATTAAACGCTAATATTGGATAGTATATTTTCACAATTTAATTGTAGTTAGATAAATGATAATTCATGTAACTCATTGATTTCGATCAAAAGTTATATTCACCTTGTTAAAAAAAATAAAAAAATAAAAAAACTGGGTGCTTACTGATTTGAACATATTGCCTTTGAACCCCACATAACCAGTAGGCTAAACGTACAGTGATTTTTTTTATAAATTCTAGTATAAAATACTTCCCGCAGGGCATTTGTTTAATTATTTCACATTCTGATGACATAATTTTTAATATCATAGATAATGAAAGCGAAAAATATATAAAAATCGACAAACATGTTATAATGAATTGAGAGCTTTACGTGTCAAAAAACACATTTCATACTGATTTCTATAAAAGGTATCTTTATTATAGAAGTGTAAGCTATATCTGTTTGTTTTTTTATTATAACAAATTCAAAATTCTCTTATAAGGATAGATGAAATCTGTATTACTAAATCATTAGCTAAATGAAGGTTCAAATAGAAAGTAAATATCAATTTATATGATACTGAAACCAAATAGTTCTTTTAATAAAAGATAACACGCTGAAAATTATTGAGTATTTGCAAATCTCAAAAATCTATTGGTGAATTTGGCTCAACTTTTAAAATTATAACATCCATATCAAATCATAAAAGCAGACAAAAATTAAAGCCAAACCTATCGGCCAATTTTTTTTGATATTTTGATTTTTGAGGTATACTTTTAAAAGTGGATTTAAAGCACTGATGAAAAAAATTAACTTCTGTCGTTATGATTATTGATTTAGACAATAATGATTTTAATCTTTGATTATCAAAACACTAAAGTCATCTTTTTAACATTTGCTTGGTAGCATTAACTCAAGTCTAAAGTACTATTTTATGTGGCACTCTTAGAATTTTTGTATTCATTGTACACGCTGAAATAGTACCATTAAAGTTATGGCGGACTTTCAAAAAATAGTTTGGTCACCTTTCTGATTCAATTTTTTCTCAACTTGTCCCGGATGATTGTACTCTAAATAATCCGAAATATGTACAGCAATGTTATTGTATCATTGTTTTTAGTTCTAATTCTTTAAATTATCCTTCAAGAACTTCATTATTTTATGATTACGAACCTCTTCAAGGGATCGATTCTTCTGAGCAATACCGTTTAATTTTGCTACTTTTTGTCCCTTGAATTTGATTTTCAGTTGTTTGAAAAGAGGCAAAATTTTCAATTGACTTATTAACTCAATCTTTTGATAAACTCATTCTTTATATTATCAATTAAAAATTTGCTCAAAATTACGACAAAATTTGGAAAATTTTTTTAGGACGAAAATTTTTTTTCATTGATAATTGATGACAAAAGTGACATTAATGCATAGTAAATTTTGGACCCCTGAAGCTTTTGCTAATTGGCAGGCTGGATTTTCTTATGCAGTTACTGATTTAAACCACCTCGAACAATATTTGGATGATTTTTCAGAGCTCACTGACTACATTATCGAAAATCATGGATTACCTCCAACTTGCGAAGTGAAAACAGAGAAATTTTTCGAATTACTGATATCGGTTACAGGCGCTCTTGTCAAAAATCACCTCAAATCAAACACTCTTCAGCCAATATTTCTCAGATTTGTTGATATCGTGTTTGATATATTCCAAATTGCATTAGATTTTCCAACATATGCTATTGAATTTTTATCATACTACATTTTTAATATTCGTCAGCCTATTTACAGTAATAATGAAGAATTTTTCACAAAAATCTGTCAGCATTACGAATCATCGAAATCCTATCTCTACTTGATGAATGAATTAGCCTCAGAGTACCCATTTCCTCAGGCTTTCCTTCGTTCGGCGATTTTTTACTTTTATATCCCTGCCGCTCAAGTAGGAACTCCAGAAGACAAGCTGGAGCAGATATTCGACCGTATAATACACCACTTAAATATTCTTCAGTTGCATAAGAACAGAAATTCTTCTCCAGAATATCTCGCTGATTTCATCACAAATACGATCAATGGCCTCAACGACATCAACGCTCTTACTCAGGACAAAGTCAACAAGGTCATGGAGTTGATTTCTGATCAAATTAAGTGCGAATTTTTCGATAAACAACATCATGCGCTCAAACTTCTCTGCAACAACTGCAGAGTACCATTCTCAAGCAAATATGTCATCAGCTGGCTCCAAACATCCGGATTTGCCGACTACATGTTCAAAAACGACATAAAACAAGCATTTCTTCCTATTTACGCCGAATTATTCAAAGTATTCGCAAGCAACGACATGATTACAGTCGATAACTTCAAGTCTATACTCTCACAGCAGTCAATTCACCAGTCTTCCGCTGATACCCAGTTTTACCACTTAATTACAGAGATTTTCACCACTCTGAAGGCAGAACTGGTGCCAGACTGCATGTCCCTGGTCCTCGACCTCCCCGAAAAGAACGACGCGTGGGTCAACTCCATCAAAATCATATGCAAAAATTTGGCCGGCAAAGAAAACATGTCACCTGTGATTGACAGTGCCAGAAAGAGGGTGGCCGAGCTCTCCCAGTCAGATTCCGAGCTCAAGCAGCAGTATTCTGAGCTTTCCGAGTTCTTAAGCTGCATCGGACTGAATCAGTCTGAAATTTTGGCGAAACTGGACGAGATTTCTAAGCTTTCAATGCTTACGAAGCAGGAAGTGTCCATCCTGTCCTCTCTCTTGTCCTCCAGATACTTCCAAAACGAAGAATTAGCGAATCGCCTCATGAATGTGATAATGAGGACCATAATGAACGACCCTCAGCTGGCCCAGCACTGCGCTGGAATGATATACAGCCTCGCCGCGTACAACAGAGCGACTCTTCTCATAGAAGACGCAAAAATGCTGCTGTTAAACGCGATGAACTCTCAGCAACTGATCAATTTCATACTGGCTCTGATGGAAAAGAACATTATCACGCACGAAACAATGCTGGAACTGATAGATTCGTACCCAGATAACAAAATCAACTCAAAATTCTACCAGTTCATAAAGAAAGCGTTCTTTTCGCCAAACTACGCTCACTCTAATCAGAGTTCGTTCGACAAACTGATGGATTTGCCTTTCCCGAACGAAGATCTGCTCTGGAGCCTTTCTCTGAGGACTTCCTCGATGCAGGAGAGGTTCCAGAGGCTTATCTCCAGGATCTACTGTAGAAATGACGAAGAAATTCTTTCCGATGAAGTAATGATCGAAACATTCATAAACAAATGGAACCAAATCCTCAACTCACTGACAGACTACGCCAAGAAGAACTCGGCGATCAAGGTTCTTGTGACTTTCATAAAGATTTGCGAAAGAGACGTAATTCCTGAGTCGTATGGCTTCGAAAGGCACAGAGACGTGCGTAAGTCAGAGACAGTAGAGATCAACGCGTCCTATCAAGAGGACGAAATCGAGACATTTGTCGTAGATAGGCAGATTTCGGTTCCAGCGCTCACCCGGCTCATTGCGGAGAAGTTCGAAGTAGTTTATACAGAGTGCGGATTGGAGTACAATGAATTCCCTCTGGAGAACGAAAAGAACTTGAAAATGTTCGATGACGAAGATTCTGTTGATGTAAAGCTAACAATCGGCAAATGTCCGGCCATACTTGACCGCACAGTCATTCCCTCCCTCAAGCTGATCCAAATGAAGATGCACGACAAACTTATGCTGATGATGGACGAATTCCCAAGCGCTGTTGAAGTTTGCGACCTCCTGCCAACATACAGGACAGTGTCCAACGTCATACAGCGATTTGCGAAGACAAAGCTCGAAGTCCTCTTCCCGAGGGACAAACCAAAACAGTTTAAATACAACTTTGACACTTTTTGTCGTGATTTCGAAGAATCCGACCTCGAGAAGTTCAAAGACATCGGCCTCCTCCAGTACTTCCTCGCTGTCGGCCTCGACTCACCCGACGCGAACCTCGTTGAGAACATTCTCAGCTGGATGAAGTCGATAAACAGAATTTCAGACGAACAGTTTTTATTCGACCAAATTGTCAAAATTTTAGAGAAGTTTACAAATAACTCTGACAACCAGCAGTTGTTCATCAACGCCTTCGATGTTGTGCACGGCCTGAGCGATCCAAGGTCATTGAAATTCGACGAGTTTTTAATGAGGAAACTGATTCTTAAGTTTTTGAACGGAAATGACGACAAAACAGCTGAATCATCTGTTGTTTTCTTCGAGAAACTCAACATCCCATCCAAGATCTACGCAGAGCTAAGCGAGGAAATAAGGGCAGACAACTTCTTCGCTTCGTGGGCAAATCACATCACTTCTAGAGATGAAAAAGCGATTTCTATCGTCATGGAAAATCTAACAACTGATTTAATTTCATGGGGCATTTTGGAGCTTATTGACGCCCTTCTCGAAGTGTACGCATTTGAGGAGAATGAAGAGATTTTAATAACGGAATTCATCTGCGAGAACTACCTGGAGACAAACAGCGAGGCAAAGGACGAAAAACAGTTTGAGTCAGCTCTAAACGCAGCAAAACATCTAAAAGGTGACAGACTTATTCGGTCACTTCACTCATTATGTTCTACCTGTTACTTCAACCAGTGGGACATCGACGGAGACAAAATCGTTCTTCAGAAATCTGGCGGTTATGTCGGTTTAGAAAATTTAGGAGTTACTTGTTTTGTTGACAGTGTTCTCCAGCAGCTGTTCAGAATCACTGAGATGAGGCAGGCTGTTTTCGACTACAAGGGAAAGGACAAATTCTTGGAGCACTTGAGAAAACTCTTCTGTCTAATGATGCTGTCTAATAGAACATCTGTTTCCACTCAATCCCTTTTGGACAACTGGTCGAGTGACGGATCAGACGAATTCGACACAACAATACAGCAGGATGCCTGCGAGTTCTTGCAGTTGTTATTAGACAAATTGGAAAGAATTCTCGGTAAAGATAAATTGTCACTTTTCTATGGCAAATTTATCAACAGAATTGAGAGTTTGGATGGCAAGCACAAGAGTGAGAGTTTCGACACGTTCATTGCTCTTCCTGTTGTTGTCCTTCACTCGAGAAGTCTCGATGAGTCACTCAAAAAGATTTCGACACCGGATTTCCTCACTGGAGAGAACGCGTACAAATTTGAGGGATCAGATACAAAAACTGACGCAAAGAAGTACTGCGAGGTCTACACAGCGCCAAAGAACTTGATCATCCAGCTCAAAAGGTTCGAGTGGAACATAGAAACTTGGTTACGTTATAAAGTGAAGTCACCTCTATCGTTCCCAGCGGTTTTGACACTGGCAGGCAAGACATATGAACTGAGCGGCGTCATTATGCATTCCGGCACCACCGACTACGGCCATTACGTTTCTTACTGCAGGGAGAAAGACGGAACGTGGCAGTGCTTCAACGACGATGTTGTGAGCGAAGTTTCTCTTGATTATGTCCTGAGAGTTGGCAGCGGAGAGAAGTCTACTTGGTCTGCCTTCATTCTGTTCTACGACTCAGAGAAGCCGCAGGAAGTCACTGTTCCAAAGGATCTCTTGGATTTCGTGAGGAACGACAACAAGAAGAAACTGCACACGAGGCTGACATTTTCCACTGCAACGACGGACATGATGTACTACTTCGCGTCATCGAAAGACGACAAACTGTTCCAGGAAGCAGCCCTGTTCTCGTTCTGTTTCGCGCCATTCACTGTGGATGGAAAGAACGGAATCAAACTCCTCACGAAAGTCAACAAAACATTGCAGGATAGACCCGAAGTTTGTAAGTATTTGGCCGACCAACTAGAAAACAGTCAACTCTGCAACCTCTTTGTTTACTGCCCGACAAACGGAGTGAGAGTTGCCGCCTGCGCTGTCATGAAGACGCTCATCTCTGTCGTTGGTCTCAAGCCTCTAAAAACACTCGCAGTTTCTAGCAAGGACTTGCACGTCCACCCTGAAAAGGCAGCTCCAATAATGGACGCCTATATTTTCGCTTCAAAAATTGACAGTTGTTCTCAATATTTGAAAGAAACCGTTTTGCCATTTTTACAGAAAGTTGTTCTTAAGTTTGTTGACGACAAACTCGCAAGGGCTTATCCGATGGATTCTTTGTTTGAAGCAATAGAAGTTCTTGGACCAACAAATGACTTTATTTCTGAATTTTGCAGATCAAAAGCAATGGAAAAGTTCTTCTTGAAGACGAATTTGGATAAGATAGCTGCTGTGATTAAACATGGTGATGACAATTGCTTCAATCTGTTGACGGAATCGGCTTCAAAATACCAGAATCCAAAATGGAAAGCTTTATTAGAAAAAGTTAGAGATTAAGACAAAAAATTTTTTTCTTTATTTATTTTTTTGTTAAATAAAAAAAATTAATTTTTATTCATAATAAGAAGTAGTCTAGCTCTTACAAACATATATTTAGTAAGTTCTAACTAGCTTATACAAAGGAGTAATCTCTCGGAGACAACAATCATATGATCTCATTTTATAATTTACTCCAAACATTTATTAAAAACATGAATTGCCAAAATCATCTTCAAAACATCACTCATATCCCAATATATATGAGTCTGTATTGGCGGTATATTAAATATATTTCTACATCAATATCAAATAAGTCATATAAAGTTCCTTATTAAATATTGATATTAATATTCTAAAAAAAAAAAAAAAAAGGTAGTGGGGCTTCCAGGCACTTCGTGCCCTCTAGCCCTGAAGATGTTTAGTATAAAATGAAGTTTTTTGGGTATTGGGGGCTTCCCGAAGATGTTTAGTATAAATGAAGTTTTTATTCGGAAAATTGTTAGTCTTCTGGGTCGAAAACATTATATAATGTGTCGCTTTTCACAAATTATATATGTTTTCATGTTTTGTCACTTTTCTGTCACTTTTCAGGAAAAAACATTTTTATTATTATATATAAATGAATTTTACAAAACCACAGTTACCGTTCTTTGGAAATAAGAGTAGATGTAAAGATATTATATTGAGAGAACTTAAGAAACTACCGAATGGTCTAACATTTGTAGATTTGTTCGGTGGAAGTTTCTATATATCCCATTTATGTCATACCGTATTTCCTGACTCAAAGATTATATGCAATGACTTCGACAACTATATGGACCGTCTCAAACATATTCCAGACACAAACAATATATTGAAAGAGTTAAAAGAAAAGATACCTATAGGTAAGATGGAACGTATACCATTAGATAAGAAAAATATTGTGAGAGAGGTTTTGAAAAAAGCAGAATATATAGACTGGGATAGTATATCTGCTAGACTATTATATAGTGGTTCTATAAGAGTTCATGACATTGAAACACTTATGTCAAACGTTTTATATCTTAACTATACAAATGTTTTCAAAGAGGACATAGAAAAATATATTGAGGGTATAGAGTTTGTGAGATGTCGTTGGACAGAGTTGTATGAAAAATATAAAGACAAGGAAAATGTTTTCTTTATAGTGGACCCGCCGTTCTATAACACATGGGATTTTCAATACCAAGTAGACTGGACTTTGAGAGACTCTTTAGAAACTTTAGACGTTATACATAACCATCCATGCTTTTACTTTACATCCGATAAAAGTGGTTTGGAAACCGTTATGAGATGGTTAGAGGACATACATGACTATGAGTTTATATATGACAAGATAGAATATGAGAGAGGTCCCATAAACTGGAGAAAGTGTCACAATAAAGAAATTTTATTAGTAAGTAAATGTGGTTTGAAATAGGACTACTTGTTTTAGGTTTTTTCCATTGTGTCATTTATTTATTTGACGTGGCAGAAAAGTACAGAGAATATGAAGATGAACCAATGCCTGCAAATGTTCAGCATATGTACTCGTAAGAGATATTTTTATCTAATATTAAATGGACGCACAGAACTTAGCGAATGCACAGCAACCTGGACAACCAAACCCAGAGAATATTCCAAATGAAGTTAGAATACAAACTGCAATGGCAAACTATGGTCAAGTGCCAACAGATGTACAAATGCAAACTGCCATGTCAAATGACGCTGCGTTAGGTTTGCCACCATGGTATGCAAATATGAGATGGAAAGAGTTTTATACAAACCCTGAAGTGGGATATAAACAACTTTATGCAGATGACGCGAACACAGGAGTTGACCCAGAATATGTTTTCTACCAGAGGAGAAACAGAATGTATGAGCTCCAGTTAAAGAATGCTATGGAACTCAACAGGAAACGTAAGAGACTAGGCGGACATTAGATTTTTACACGTAGTAAATGGGTTTCTTTGGAAGAATAGGAAACTTCTTTCGAAATGTTGGAAGAGGTATATGGAATGGAATAAAATCTGTCGGAAGAGGAATATGGAACGGTGTCAAAAATATTGGTAAAAGAGTAGGTCAGTTCGTTGGTATTATACCTAAAGACCCTGAACCAGAAGAGCAAGCTCCTGTTATACAACAGCCTGAACCTGCACCACAGTCTAGTTGGCAACCAAATCCAACACCTCAACCGTATTAAAAAATTATATTTTTATCGTTCGATAGTAGTTGTATATGAAACTAAGTTCTAAGTAAAACGCATGGTATAATGGAACTATTCTTTTTCTTCCATCTGTAGTAAACCATACTTGAAAGTCTGAAATACTTCCACTTGGTGGTTCGTATAACTTTGTAGGTTTTTCGTAAAAGTCATTTGCCAAGCATAAGAAAGAGTTTTGGGCGCCAGAAAATGAAGCATGAACAATAATAGCATCTTGGTCGAAAACATCTTTAAATAAATATGGTTCATCTCTTGCATATCGACTGTAGATATTTGCTAAAGGAAGTTCAACTTTCTGATTTAACATTCTTTGCAAATAATACCATGACATTGCAGTGAATTCTGTATATATTTGTTCGTCTTTATTTGGATTGTTTTCGTAGATTTGAAATGACACTTGTGAATTTTGTTTGTCATATACAATTCTCACATAAAGTGTGCTCTCGGTATTTGCATATTCATCAGCATATTTTGCATAACATGAATTTATTTTATCTTCTATATTTTTTAACGCAGTCTGTAGAGAAGATGAAAGGTCAACTTGTATTAGCTCAATTTCTTCCCACATTTTTCGTTGCCCTTTAGATATATAATCTATATGAAACCTTACAATAAATGGAAAACTTTTATCTTCTACAGACACAAATTTTATTCTTCGAAAGCCAATAGATTTAGTAACAGATGGGTCTCTTAACCATCTTAATGGGTAGTCAAAACGATAGCCTTCATGCTTTATAGTATCTAAGTCAAACTTTTGACCGACATTAGTAAAAAGTTCATCTAATGGTTTAGTTGTAGCAACTCTTGAATTTTCTTTTTCTATTGGTAGCATATTTTATCTATAATAAAAATGTCGAAAGATATAGCGTCTATGAGAGAAATACAACACAACCGACAACTCATTATGCAAGCTCTAAATAAGAACACAACAAACTTTTCAAACTATTCTAAGATATCTGAGTCATTGAAAGAAGGAAACTTAAAACTGACATTAAACCCTATGACAGATGAGTTTCTGTTTCAAGACAATAAGAACCATACTGTCTGTATAAATCCAACAAAAGGAACTTTAAACGAGAAACCTATAAATGAACTTCTTTTGAAAGCAGATGTTGAAAATAAAGCTGACAAAGAATATGTCATTGAAAAAGTTCAAGAAGAACATGACAGAGCAGAAGCAACATATGCAACAAAAGATGACGTTGAAAATAAAGCTGACAAAGAAACTGTAGATATGTTGGCACAAACGGTTTCAAGTCATGACAGAGCTTTAATGGAAGATGGACAACAGTTGAAAGAGCTTGACAAAGATGTTTCAAATAATAAGTGGAAGGTAAACTATTTGAATGAAACCGTAAATGGTCAGAAGCAGGAAATAATAAGAATGGAAGGTGAAATATCTGGAAAAGCTGACAAAGAAACTGTAGATATGTTGGCACAAACGGTTTCAAATAAAGCCGACAAAAATCATACACATACATCTTCTGAAATAACAGACTTAAACGTTAGCCTTGAAAATAAAGCAGATAAAACATATGTCAATGAAATATACCAAAGTTTAGTTGGAACAAAAAAAATATTGAAACTATTGTTGGTGACTTTTCTGTCAATGAAGAAAATAAATATTTTAGATGGCAGTTTCTACATTCCTTAAGGAATGGTATACGGTATAAACTCATTCCGAAAAATAACAATGAAATGTATGTAAGCTATAAAAAGAATGATGGTACACAAGTTAAAGTTCCATTAGACAACAACTGCTACTTAGACTTATATGGAGACGAACAAAAGAAATATTTAAGAGTTTATGAAATGGCAGATATGACATTAGCTGACCCAGCTCCAGCACCATATTATTATGACTATGGAGATATGTCGAAAACACCACATGTAGATGAACAAAAGCTAACATTATATTTAGATTATTATAGATATAAAAGATATAATGCAATAGAAAAAACGAGAATAGTATATTATTATGAAGATGACAGAAATAAATATTATAGTCAAGATTTTACCTACCCTGAAAACATAAGATTATATTATAAAAAATATTCTGACACAAACCAGAAGAAACCCGAAATAGTTGCACTATATTTTAAGTTCAAAAGAGACAATCCTATAATATCTCATATGTTTGATTTAATGAACCCAGTAGGTTCTATTTATACATCTATGGATGTGAGAGGTCCTCAAGTAATGTTTGGTGTTGGTGCATGGGAACAAATAGTCGACAGGTTTTTGTATTGTGCAAACTCTTCAAAGGAAACAGGTGGAAGTAAAACGATTTCAGGTGAAAATTTACCTGCACACAGTCATTATATAAATTTAAGTACATCTCAAGCAGGTTGGCATAAGCATAGATATTGGGATTGGTCAGGAATGACAAAAGGTCAAGGATATGATGTTAAAGAGGACGTTAAGTTTGCTATAAATTGTTACTGGGATGACACTCAGGGAGAAGGAAACCATACACATTTCGTTTCAGGATATACGCAAACAACGGGACAAAGTAAAGACTACATGCCACCTTACATGACAGTTTACGCATGGTATAGAATTGCTTAGTCGTCATTTTCAACTTCTTTAGCATATTCGTCAGGAGTTGTCTTATATTGTTAGGAACTGTCTTTGAAAGTATACCACCTTGAACTTTGACAAGTTTGAAACGAGGTCTGACAATAGTAGTTTTATCTTCTGCTTGCAGTGTGTACATTTTGCCATGTTTGCTAAAACTTCATAATATTCTCTTGTATACTTTCTTCTATTTTTACGAACACGAATGTGAGTACCTGTCGGTTCCCATTGTTGTCATAGTCAATAGTATTTTCATATGGGTCGCGTTAGGTATTTCTATTTTTACTTTGTCACCTTTCTGAAGTTTGAAGCCTGGCATTCTTTCTTTTTTGTCTCTTTGACTAAATTATTAAATATATAGTCTTTCTCTAAGTCAGGGTTTTTTTTCATTTCTTCGGGAGTGGTTTCCCAAACCTTTTTGTTTACGGTTATTGTAAATATTTAAAAACTTGTCTCATCTTTGCCTGGGTGAAGTGTCTATACTTGTCTCATATGAACATTTCATTTGCTTCACCACCTTGTGGGTTGGTTTAAGTCTCTTAACATTTTATACATCCGTCAATGACACCAAGAGCAGAATGGTTTTGGTCGACAATGAAATATTGGTTTACATTTTTTGAACGCAGATAGTTTTTTACATCATCTGATTTGAAAGAACTTTCACAGTCAGATGTCAGTTTTGTTGGATGGTATTTGTCAACGAATATTGTCATAGCAGTTTTCACATCTAAAATATTTTTGGACCATAATGGTATGGCTTCACAGTATCTTGTGTTTTGACCGACAAATATTAGCCAGTATGGTGGTCCATCTTCTCTATACCTCGGAATGTTTTCCAAGATATCCATAAACCATGCGTTCGGAGTTGAACTAAAGATTTTTATCATGAGTGCTTTCTTTGTCGCTTTAGAAACATAGGGGTCCTTGTTTGGATTCGTCATTTTTTACCCTGTAAGAAATGGGTTTATTTGGCGCATTAGCAGGAGTCGCATCCAGATTTTTGCCCGCAGTGGGAACAATAGCCAGAGGTGTATTTGGAGTTGGAAGGAAGATTTTGAGTACATTAGGTATACTTAAAGAGAAAGCACAACCTATTATACAAACTGTACAGAAAGGTTGGGATGTAGCACGAGATGCAACAAATCTTATTCCAAATCCTGAAACAAGAGGAAAAGTTCAAGGATGGATGGACAATGTAGGAAGACAAGCAGGAAATTATTATAACAAAGCAAATGACTACTATAACCAAGCAGGAAATTATATGGACCAAGGTGAAAGATTCTTTAACAGAGGATATAACCATGCACAACAGTGGGTAAACAATAACCAACCTCAACCGCCTCAAACGTGGAGAATGTAAAGTTTTTTATTGAGATGAAATGAACAATGCAGCATTGAGACAAATAAGTTCAAGATGGATTTGTCGGCTTCCAGCATTTAAACCACGTGTTTGTCAAGTTCTTCCTATACCTCAGGAAGTTTTAGACCGACTTAAAAAACCTAAACAACCAGTTGAAAACAAACCAAACTAAAATTTTTTACTGAGATGAAATGACTGAAGAAGTTGAAACGGTAGATTTGACACCACAAACAAAAAGTTCAGAACCATTGTCAAAACCTGTCAAAGAACTTACAGATGAAGAGAAAAATTCAATAATAGAAAGTGCCAGGTCTGGAAATACAAACCCTAACTATAAAGTCACTTTTCATAGAAATGGAACGGCTAGTATCTCAAAAAAGAAACAGACTCTCACAAATAAAATATTGAAGTCTGAAGGAGCTTTCGAGACAACAGATGGAAAAGTTTACTTCACTGACCAACAGTTCATTATAGAACATCTCATTGACTTAGAGTCGAAATATTCTAAACTTTACAACAAACACAAAAAGTTGAAAGGAAAACAAAAACAAATGGCATATGATATTTATGAAGATGTTGACGACACAACTGTTCCTGCAAGTGAAGTAAAGTCAGAGGAACCGAAAAGTGACGAAAAACCGATAGAAGAAGAAAAACCAAAAACTGAAGATAAACCAAAACCAAAGTTTAGTTTCCAAACTAAACCAAGTCAACCTTCATTAGCTGGTATGGGTTGGCGTCAAAGACTTATGGCAGCAGGCGGTTATGTAAAGTAAAGAGAAAAAAATATTTTTTTTATTTTTATAAAAATGCCCCCATATAGAATGGACAGAAAGTCTGCTAGAATAAAAGCAGAGTTACAAAGATATGGTTGGAGAGTTTCGAAGAAGTTTAAATATAGGAAGGGAAAGCCAATAAAAGTCTATGACAAATTGTCTGGTCTTCGCTACGAAATGGATTTGGAAACAGCACGTGCAAATTATCCAAACAGACTAGAGAGGTTAGAAGAAGAACGTCTTATGAACATGCCTTTCGATGTTAGTGAATCTCAAGTTGAAAGACACGACGGCTTTGCCAGATTCTATTGGAAACATGACGAACAATTGCATCCTTTGAGAAGGAAAAAAGGAAAAGGTGAAGACGCACATGCTCCCATGGAAAGAACAAGATATGCATATGAAAAGTATCGTGAAGTTCGTGCTAAAATTGGACAAGGTGGAGACTTTACAGTAAACTTTGACGAAGGAAAGAACAAAGAAGGCTTCATGGGTGTACTTGCTGCAATTCAAGACGGAAATAAGAAAGGACACAATCTCAGATTGACCATAACAGATTTGGATGGTCACATTTACTATGCACATGGCAATGAACAAACAGCCGCAAAACTTCTTGACGCTTTCAAGACTACAAAGAGAGAACAAATGGTTGACTCCGACTCAGACATTTTGAATGCAATTGAAGGAATTGCAAGTGTCACGTTCGAATGGTACCAACATAACCCTCAAGCAGTCAGACAACATGCTGGATACTTCCCGTTCATAAATAAGTCTGACATTGACTTGACAAGGTATGGAATTTACAATTCAATTGAAACAATTGTCAACGAACCTTGCATTCTTACATGTCTCAGGAACTCTGGTCTTGTTACAGATGAGAAGATGAAGTATCTTGAGTCATGTGTGAAGACAAGGTACATTCTCAGAGGTCAATTGGCAAAAATTGCACCGTTGGCAAATGTCAATATCCGAGTCAACATACCTACAGCTAAAGGTTCTTCACATGACGACTATGTTGTTGACAAAGACTTACCATGGTTGAAGATTGTAATTTGCCACAACCACTTCATGTTGAACGAAAGTCTTACAAACCCATTCTTTGGTAAAAGTAAGTGCAACATTGTCAGAGCTGTAAACATTCTTTTCGAGAAAGGTTTGTTGGAACCAATTCCAGATGACAAGCTGACAGAAACTTTTGTACCAAAAGACGAAACAAACTTTTCATTGTTAGCAAGACCAAAAGTTGTTCCAGACAAAGTTCTAGTACAAAAGAAGTACACAGTTCCACAAGGAGTTGGTTTGTTCGGATACCAACCTGAACCAGAAGAACTTCCAATGAGGTTGCAAGAACTTCAAGATGCTATAAACAAACTTCCATTGAGACATCCAATTGACGTCAAATTGTATTGGAGAGCATCTGAGTTAGGTCAGAAGGTTTTGTATGAGACAGGTTGCTTCGACGATGTTTATGAGATAACAGGAGAAGTTTCGCAGAAGATAAGAGACTCACTTGAATTTCCACAAACTGGACCAATTGGTTGCGACAAGTTCGACTCAAACGAAAAGATATACTATGTCGACCTTAACGCTGCGTACATGAGGTTTGTCCAATATATTCCAACTGGAATTCCAAACGAAGATGGTGAGTTCCCTGGAAGGAACTATACAGTTGGAAAAGTCATACAACAACTGTATGATATTAGGAAAGCTTCAAACCCCAAACTTGCAATGACACTCAAATTGCTTATGAATTCGACATGGGGATATTCCATTAAGAAACCTCAAGAGATGAAGAGTAAACATTATGAGAAGGTCGACAACTTTGTTGAAAGGTTTTCTCCTTTTGTTTTGAAGTACGAATTCACTCAAGGTCAAAGTGGCTTAGTAACCACATTAAAACCTATTGTCGAACATTGGTCTTACCCTCAGTTCGCAAAGGCAGTCCTTGACAACTACAACAAATTCTTCTCCGAAGTCAAATCGAAAGTCAAGGTTTACTATGAGAACATTGACGCACTCATGACGAACGAAGAAGGATACAACAAACTCATTGAAATGGGTATGGTCGGTGAAAAGATGGGCTGTTTTAAGCTAGATAAGGTATTTTCCGAAGTTCATGTAATATCGAAAAGGAAATATTGGGGCATACTTGAAGACGGCACAGAAATAAAACATTGCATGAAGTAAAATTAGTTTTAAAACAATATATTTTTACATATATTAAATGCTTCAGGTTGAAAAACAAAGAACAAAAGTAGCAGATACAAAACCGTTAGACTATATCTTTACAAATGCTGGTAGGACTATTTCAGATGAAGAAATTTCATCCCGAGCATACAGGTTTGACTATCCAATTCGTTGGCTTCAAAGTCCTTCAGATGCAAAGGCAATAGGATTTAGAAGAGTTTTGTTTTCAAATAGAACTAACGCATTTATGTTCACAGTATATTTTCATGGGCAGTATGAAGGTCATGATGGTCTAATAGACAAATTTGACGAAATGAGAATCTTTACAGTTCGTTCAGACGAAAGTCTTGAGAAAACTCTAAATGACTTTCAAACTCAAATAAACAAATATTATTGGGAATTTCAAGAAAAATACAACTCTTTACTAAATGGAACATACTATCTGAAACTAGAATATGACAAGATGAACTCCACCGTTTCATTTCAAAAGATTGAAATTAACCCTCCAAGAGATACAGAGTTTTTATTTTGGGAAGTAGACAAACGTTCTTGGGCACAATTTCTTCGGTTACTAAACCAGAACGAACCATTACCACCAGATGGTCCATTTAAATTTATACTTCCACCAGCAGATTTGATGGTTTATAGAAACGTGTTTGACCCTCAAAATGTTATGTGTCATGCAAGTTTCAGTTCAAGCAACAATAGTTTTCTATGTATTGGTAAGGACTTTTATGACTTTGCTTCTAAATTCTACGAACCACCTAGTAACAGTTTCTCTGACTTTCAAGTTTGGTTCACAACAAATGGTGTGCAACATATTATTCCATTGTACTGTGACTTTTATCTCGAATTGTCTTTCATATATAACTACGGAAAAGTGCTGAAAAAGTATTGAAAAATACTTTTAGGGTAGAAGGGTATATCTAACCTCTTTTCTAACCTCTTTTCTAACCTCTTTTCTACCATCGTAGAAAACTCATGAAAACAATTTATTTTTAACATTTCCTTAAGATAGAAAAAATAATGTTTAGGGTAGAAGGGTATATCTACCCCGTTTTCTAACCTCTTTTCTAACCTCTTTTCTACCCATTGTACTGTGACTTTTATCTCGAATTGTCTTTCATATATAACTACGGAAAAGTGCTGAAAAAGTATTGAAAAATACTTTTAGGGTAGAAGGGTATATCTAACCTCTTTTCTAACCTCTTTTCTACCCATTGTACTGTGACTTTTATCTCGAATTGTCTTTCATATATAACTACGGAAAAGTGCTGAAAAAGTATTGAAAAATACTTTTAGGGTAGAAGGGTATATCTACCCCGTTTTCTAACCTCTTTTCTAACCTCTTTTCTACCCATTGTACTGTGACTTTTATCTCGAATTGTCTTTCATATATAACTACGGAAAAGTGCTGAAAAAGTATTGAAAAATACTTTTAGGGTAGAAGGGTATATCTAACCTCTTTTCTAACCTCTTTTCTACCCTCTTTATTTATAACCGTTTTACATGGTAAACATTGTGAATTCGTGAGATTCTAAACAGCTTCGTAGCTTCGATTTCCTCTGTCAGTATGTCAAAAGTTTTCACAATATTGAATGTATCTTTATATTTCTTCTTGACATCAGATAATAGGAAATCGTCAACTGTTGGATAGTTTTTGTTTAGAAATGCCAATATGTCCATTTTATCTTCTGCTGGTTTCTCTACTTCTTTCTTTAAGTCAGCATAGTCGTTTCTCATACGTTCTATCTCTTTGACGGAGTAGTTATATTTCCTTATTGCTGCTTTACATTTAGAACATTGTGGGTTCATTTTTGCGTTATACATTGAAATTTGACCTGCTAGAACAACTAAGGCGTCAATGGTTTTCTTTAACTCAAAAGTTGTTGGTTTTATTTGTCCATTCCATACTTTACCTCTTCTATCTTTATTTCTTATCTGCCATACACATTTTGCAACTAATGAAACAAAGTTGTCGTAGGTCTTAAACTCCTCCGATTTATATATGTCAGAAACATTCTTATATACCATATCGCAATCTTTGTCCATAACCTTATGGTTGCAATGATATCCTAGAAACTCATAATTTACTTTACGTATGAACTTCTTTATTTCAACTGAGTCAGTTGTTTTTACTTCTATTTCATCGAATTCAGGAATAGTGAGCTTTTGTTGTTGGATTTCAGGCAATTTGGGTAAATGGTCAATAATGTCCTGCATGTCGTAAAGATACTGTTCATTTTCTTCATCTTTCGCACAACAGTCTAAATTACTTGTTAAAAGTTCTTGCTTTATTCTTTGTATTTCTGTCTCAAAAGTATATGAAGAAGGAATGAAGCTTTTCATCTCTACTAACATAGATGTTGGATTCATAACTAAAGAGTTTGGTGAAGTTGTTGCTAACATGTTCTTACAATAAAAATAAAAAAATAAATAAAAATAAAGTTAGTTTTATTTTTTCTATCTTAAGGAAATTCATGAAAATTCATGAGTTTTGTGTGTTTTAGACCATGTTAGAAAAGAGGTTAGAAAAGAGGTTAGAAAACGGGGTAGATATACCCTTCTACCCTAAACTTTATTTTTTCTACCCTAAACATTATTTTTGCTGAATTCAGCACAAAATTCATGAGTTTTGTGTGTTTTTGACCATGTTAGAAAAGAGGTTAGAAAAGAGGTTAGAAAACGGGGTAGATATACCCTTCTACCCTAAACATTATTTTTGCTGAAAACAGTGAAGCACAGCGAGACAGACTTTTTTCGGGGTCGCCAAAACTCTATGAAAACCGTAAAAATTTGCCAAATGGTTTGAGAGGAAATTCTGTATAAAATTCATGAGTTTTGTGTGTTTTAGACCATGTTAGAAAAGAGGTTAGAAAAGAGGTTAGATATACCCTTCTACCCTAAACTTTATTTTTGCCGAATTCTGTATAAAATTCATGAGTTTTGGTTGAAAGAATACGGTGGAGCCAAAAGTGGCTCGACCTCAAAACAAGCATTTTGTGAAGAATATAGCAACAGTCTGAATTCCGGCGGTTGCATATTTTTAAGTAAAATTCATGAGTTTTGTGTGTTTTAGACCATGTTAGAAAAGAGGTTAGAAAAGAGGTTAGAAAAGAGGTTAGATATACCCTTCTACCCTAAACTTTATTTTTGCCGAATTCTGTATAAAATTCATGAGTTTTCACAAAATGAAAAAATAACGTTAGTTTTATTTTTATTTATTTTCTCCAGATACCAAGCATATCATTGGTTTGAAAACCAAAGCACACAAGAACTTTTAGAAGAATTTCCTCATATGATTGCTTCCCTCGGAAAACCGAGAGAAGAGATTCCGTACGAAAATCGTAAAAATTTGGCTCCTGGTTTGAGAGGTTGGTATGTACATAGACTATTAGTAAATGCTGTAGCAATGTGGGCTTCACCTCGTTATGCTTGTTATATTTGCAAACTTCTTGACGAACTTCACAGACAAGAACGTGAAGAAATGGAAAAGAAACTTCAAGCAAAAGATGAAGTCATTGAAGCAAAAGATAAAAGCATACAGAAAAGAATACCGCGTTCAGTACCAAAAGGAAAGGAAAAGAACTATAAGTATATGATTTATACTGAAGAGTTGGAGAATGAAGAAGACAGAGATATGGTTATGTTGCATTTAGTCAGAAGAAACAACAAAAGCTTTTACGACCTTGCTAAGATTTACAAATCTGACAGAAATTGGTTCTATCGCGAAAACTTACCGATTTCAATGACACCGAATGAACAAGTTAAACAAATAGTTCAAGATACTTTACCTCAAACACACTATGATATTAAAGGTTGTACAATTTTTACCTTCAAAGAAGATTTGCCATTGTTAAAGGAAAAAATAACAGAATATTTCGACAACTTCAAACAAGTAGGGTAAATTTCAATCTTTATTTTTCAAGCTTGACTTCAAATGGCTCAGGTAGCTCTATACGGTAAATTGCCTCGTCAAATCCTTCTGGCATTCCAAGTTCTTCCATCCGACAGGAAAATATTTTCCCGACAACTGGAAGAGTTCTTCCTTCCGACAGGAAAATATTTTCCCGACAACTGGAAAAAAATTTCCCGACAACTGGAAAAAATTTTCCCGACAACTGGAAAATATTTTTCTGAAGGTCGACCAAAAAGTTCTCAATTTTCGAAAATTTGAATGCTTTACGGACGGACAACTGGAAAATTTTTCCATCCGACAGGAAAAGTTCTTCCTTCCGACAGGAAAAGTTCTTCCTTCCGACAGGACACAAACGGATGACTGACGTCAGTCAGTAAATTTTATCGTCCAGCCTTACAAATGTAAACTCCTATCGTTCTATTTTCTTCACTAGGGTCTAACACCAAAGTAAATATGTACATGAAATTTCACTGCATAAAAGGAAAAAACCTGCGCGAATCGGGATTTGAACCGAGGTCTTCGACACCTGTAACGAGGTAGTCCATACCACTGAGCTATGAGCCGCTTGCATATTTTTAAGTAAAATATAGTATATTTGCCATTGTTAAAGGAAAAAATAACAGAGTATTTCGACAACTTCAAAGAGGAAGAGTAAATTTCAATCTTTATTTTTCAAGCTTGACTTCAGATGGCTCAGGTAGCTCTATAAGGTAAATTGCCTCGTCAAATCCTTCTGGCATTCCAAGTTCTTCCATCCGACAGGAAAATATTTTCCCGACAACTGGAAAAATTTTTCCCGACAACTGGAAAATATTTTTCTGAAGGTCGACCAAAAAGTTCTCAATTTTCGAAAATTTGAATGCTTTACGGACGGACAACTGGAAAAAAATTTCCCGACAACTGGAAAAAAATTTCCCGACAACTGGAAAAGTTCTTCCTTCCGACAGGATACAAACGGATGACTGACGTTCCTCTTCCTGAATGCCTTCCAAAGCCAGAAGAACCGACAACCCCAGCACCACAACAGACTTACTAAGACTAAACATTTAATTTTCAAGCTTGACTTTTTACAATTTGAACTTTGTTTGCGTAGATATGAATTCTGAAAGAAGTATGAGGGTCTTGTATGACTTTATACTTCTCCCATAGTTCATATCTGTCAAACTTACCTGCCATGGACTCTTTCATAAGTTCCATGAAATCGTCTTCGGACAATCCTGGGAAAAGTATTATGTCAGTAAGTATTCTCTTTACATCCTTACTTAAACTCTTGGCTGTCTGTACACAAATGACAACTGAAATGTTAAAGTGTCTGAGCTTCTTAAGAATTCGACACATATCTTGTTCTCTATTCTTTAACAAAGGATGAGAAGCAAAGTCATCTAAGATAAGAAGACACCTATGGGGGTAAGTCTTCCAATCGTAAGATTGCAATTTCTTCGAAATGTATTCTATCTCTTTCTGTTTGTTTCTGAAGTGTTTCTTCTCTAATATTCTCTGCATTTCCTCATTTGGGTCTTTGAACTTAGAATTTATATACTCATTTATAGCATTATACTTCAAAACTCTTCTTTGGTACTTCTTTATCCAATCTAACAACTCAGAGTCTTTTATACATACTAACTTAGACTTCTTTATAATATCTTTGAACGAATTGACGGTTTGGTCAAATTGACCAGAAGTCGAACAAATAACAACCAACTCATAGAATGGGTTCTTCTCATCTAGTTCTTGTTGTTGTGCAGCCATTTTAAGATAAGTGAAAGTCTTACCCGACCCAGGTGGTGCAATTAGACCTGTTATACCATTCTGAGCAAATAAGAACTTGTCATGTATAGGTTTTATCTGAGCATTTTCTAACTTCCTCTTGTTCTTATTTAAAACATTCTCAAATTTTTTGTCAATGTCAGCAAACTTTTTTTCTAACATATTTTTAGAAAAATTAAAATTTTTATCTTTTAGAAAATGTCTAGCGATTTCGCTATCTATATTCGAGACAAACTTTTTGACAGTAAAACATCTGTCGACCATAAAATCTTACATAGTGTAAACAAGAAAGGTGAATTTGTTCTAAAGTTCTGTTTCTGTGAATATGACAAGAACCATAAAACATTAAGCAGAGCAGTCTTTAAGTTTGTCAATGACAGACTTGTTGACAGAGATGACGCCGATTGGAAAGATGAAGTCCAACAAAAATTCTTAGAATGCAAAGATGACACATGCGCTGTTCTTGAAGATGAAATAGAAAACAGAATAGAAGAGCTATTAAAGGACAAAGAACTTTTACAAAAATATGGTTCTGAGAAGTTTGACATAACTCCACCAGAAAAGAAGAAGAGAGAAAAGAAAGAAAAGAAAGTAGAAGAAGAGAAGAAAGAACCTGAACCAGAGCCAGTTCCACCGAAGAAGAAATTTGACATGTAAAAATAAAATTTTATTTTTAGAACATTTCTGGGTCAATGTCAATGTTCTCTTCCTCTTTAGGAGCAAACACTGGCTTAGACTCTAAAATCTTTTTACCCAATTTACCTTGAACTTCTACAACTTTAGACTCATAATATTCATAGTCGTCTGCCTTCTTTGGTTCATAAGGTATAACAAGTTTGTATGCTTTGCCTTCTTTAAGGTTTGAGAACTTTCTGTCAAAATTTTCTTTGACTGTTAACAAACCTTCTATGTCTAAGTCTTCAAATTTCGCACCATTTTTAGTCACAATAGCAAACTTAACTGGTTCGATGTTCCAAACTTTGCTGAATGAAGACTTTTCAAAATGGTAGAAGTAAACATTCAAATATGTGAATGGGTCTAGTTCTTCTTTAAGTCCTGACATATACTTATTTACTGAGATGAATTTTGCCATCTTTTTCTATCGGATAAAAAAATACTTTTTTAAAATTTACTCAGAAAATTTTTTCTTTGTATATACACCATTCTGTACGTCTAAAAGAGTTTTGACATTTGCCAAGAATGTTCGTTTAGAAGCTGCCATATAACCATATTCTTGACAATATTGTTTATACGAATCGTACAATGACCTTTCATCTAATGACACAAAGTCAGTTTCATCTATGAACAGTTCATATACACTCTTGTTTGCTTCTAACAATGTTTGTCTCTCTTCGGTATGTGGAATTTGTCTTGGATTGAACTTAGAAATATCTAATGTCATGAAATATGAGAACAAGTGGTTGTAAAAGTCAGATGTCAAACATTCTGACAAAGCGTCAAAATATTCAGTATCTTGCATATGAGAATCTGACGTTCTAACAACTACATATCTCTGTCAGAACTTTCTAACTTCATCGGAACAGCATTGTTTGAAACCATAATGAAGTTTGCAACATTCTCACAAACTCTTGAGTCTTTATACTTTCTTTCAACAACTCCAACTTTGTCTGTTATAAGACTCTTCAAAGCATCTGAGTTCAAAATTTTTGTTGTATCTATACTTTGAAGTTCATTGCAAACTATAAGTTTCATATTCTCAATTGAAGAGTTAAATTTACCGCAGATGTTTTTAAGTTTGTCATATTAGGGTTCGAATAACCTTCTAACAGTTTGCATAAGATATCTGTAAAGAATGTGTTCTTACCTGTTCCTTGTTTTCCAATTATAATGAGAGCAGTTTCATTCTTAGCACTTGGATGTTGTAAGATGTTTGCAAACCAACATAAGATATACTCATAAACCTTTTCGTTTCCATTGCATATAATTTCTTTGACATGGTCTAACCAAGCTTCTATAATATTTTCTTTCCATTCTACTTGTTCATATTTATATCCAGTGAAGATAGAATAGAAGTTTGGAGAAGGTGTATAAAACTTTATACCTCGAACTGAAAAATCTTCTAACTTTGACAATAAAATATCCCAAGCATCTAACATCTTCATGCCAACTTGTACGACTTTTATTTTCTTAAGTTTCTGTCTACATTCTTGTTCTGAAACTATTGTCGCTTTAGGTTTGTTAAAGACTACATCCCATTCTTTCATAACATAACATTCTGGGGCAGAGTCGACATAAATGACTAAACGTTTCAAATTCTCGACTGCTTTGTTATAGTCTCGAAATGGACACATATTTCTGAATGCTTGGAAGTCATAAAAATCTGAAACATCTATTCTGTACATTTTTATAAAAATAAAAAAAATATTATTTTTTTATTCTTGACTTTCTTGTTCCATTTGTTGCATTTGTTGTTCTTGAGCTATTTGTTGTTGAAGTTGTTCTTGTAATACAATACTTTCACCAGTTGCATCTTCCAATTCGAAACTTTCTGCCGTCATTGACAAATACATAGGACATAAAAGTTTTACAGGAACAAAGTTTGCGTCAACTAATGTCAACGTTATACTTGCCAAGTGTTTGAGTTCACTAAGGTTGAAAATTCTGCATTCGAATGAACAATAGGCAAACCAGCAGAGAAAGTATTGTTTATACGCATAAGTATCTTTTGGTCATAATAGTTTCTGTCGACATTCGAATAACACTTTGAACCTAAGTTTGAAACAATATATAAGATTGGTGTGCTTAATGTCAATGGAATAGACATTCCTTGTATGACACCTTTTCCTGTTATAGGAAACTGTTGGTAGTAAAAACCAGAAATAAGTTTTGTATTATAGCTCATATCGTTTATAGTAAACTCAGTCGGACATCCAAACATAATGAAACCTGCTCTAGTTGCAGCACATGTTACACCCGTACTTAAAGTATTAAATAAGTCAACAAAACCTGTTGGTGGTATATCTGAATATGTATCTTCAAAGGAGTATTTTTTACCATTCACAACAATAAAGTCTTCTGGTGTCAAAAGAGCAAAACAGGCTTTAGTCGTCATTGTGTTTAAGGTTAGTTTACAATATCGTCCTTGAGGACTTTGTAAGTTTGTTGTTATAGAATTATATGACTCGGGGTTTTTAGTCGTAATAGTATAAACCATTATGTCTTCTGCCATTTACTTAGCAAATAAATTTTAATGAAATGTTGTGGTCGTCAAATATTTTTATAACGTCTGGGAAACTATATTTTAAGTTCAACGTTTCACCTCCTTTCATAACGTATATCTTGTCAATGGCATTATATGAAACACCACAGCAACTAATGTCGGGTTCTATTTCTTTGATGTTTATATCGTCTGCCTCTGTCAAAAGTTTCAATAGTTCTTTCAAAACTTCATGAGGTGCGATGACATATGAGTTCACTTTTACAGGGTTGTGTTCGACCAAGTTTAACATTATACCTAAAGCTTGACAAATCTTCTCCTGAGTTTGAAGTTTGTCTTTCAGTTGTTGGTAGTCGTTTCGAATATCTGCAACAGAACTTAAGTCTCTGTTAACTTCAGGATATGTTGGTTCTTTTACAGGAACAATTGTTATACCATCTTCGTCTTCGTATGGGTTCCCCACTTCAACATCTCTGTCTTTGACATTGACAATAACACTTTGACTGTTTGTTTGAGTTGGTGAATTTAACTTCACATCTGCCACCGCCATTAAACCTTTTGAAACACTTACGCTTCTATTTTTCGGAAATGACATTTTACTTCGAATAAAAAGATGGACGTATTTGAGTATCTCTTCGAATTGAAGCAAAACAAAGTTTATACTCACAAACAATACAAATACATTGACAGAATAGTTCTTTATACAAACAATGGTAAATGTTATAGAATAGCAATATTTGCTGAACCAAAATATTTTCATAAAGCAAAGAAAGTTGGTATAACTGAAATGGTGAAAGTTCTTGAAGCAGACAAAAATATAACTTCAAAACTTACAGATATTTCTAAAGGTAAGTTTATAATACAATATTATGTCAAAACTGGCGTACTGTCAATATTTGACGGAGAGAAGTCAGTTCAAGAACAACTTACTGACCTGCTGCCAAAATCTGCTCGATGGAAGCTGTCGTTATGCCAATCTGAGGAGCCCCAGCAGGTTTCATCGAACGAATCTTCAAAAGAGCATCTTCCGTGAAAAGTGCTATTGGTTTTGTAAACTTCTTTGCTCTCAATTCATCTGGACCGTCTCTGTCACCAGTATATTGTATTTTTACAGTACCAACAGTTGAAATACCACCCATAAAGTCTTCTGAGTCAGCAAATGGGATACCAATCCAAAAGTTTGACTTATCTCCGTTTGTATACTGGGTTTTTTGACCTCCTGTATGAGTCCATACTTTCACATATGGCATAATAGAACTTTGCATTTCAGGGTTAATGGTCGTTGTGAAGTTGTTGTTAAAGTTCATAGCATCTAATGTCAAGTTGTATGACCTCATATCCTCAACTGTAGAATATTCTTCTCTTGGGTAATATTTACCATCTATGTTTATATGATATTTAATACCAGGGTTGTAGAAACAAGAATAGTCATTTATAGTTCGTCTGAACAGTACAAACATAGTATCTGCATGTTTCATAGCAGTTGTTAAAGCAATATCTGTTCTTGCACCTGCGGCTCCTGGATTTTGGTTTCCAACTTCACCTGCAAAATCTTTGACAGATATTTGATGGATAGGGAACATAAGTGGAACTGCAATATATTTGGCAGCTAAAGCATTTGAAATATCTGGGTCCAACATATAAACGGCAAGTCTGCTTTCTATTCTCTTGCATTCAAATTTTTCGCATGTGAACTTAACTGGGTCCCAAGCAGTTCCAGCACCATTATCCTTCATATAGTAGTTTACTTCATTGTTGAAGTTTGAGAAACCAAAGTCTAAGTCAACTTTGTCTTTGCAAAAGGCAGCGAATGTTTCCTTAGCTGTTGCTTTGGCTTCAATAGTGAATGGGTCTTGTGTTGGTGCAATGACTAAGTTATTTTTGCTTGGAGTAAGTTCGATAGAAATTTTTCCTGCCCAGTTTGGCAAGTATCTTAAAAACCTGAAGATGAGGAAAGATGACAAAGGAACTCTAAGTTTCAGTTTTACTTTGGTTACTGCTGCTGAGTTTGTCCAGAAAGGTTAACATAAACTCCTGGAACGTTAGGTCAAGTCTTCTTATTTTCTCAATAGTTGCATACTGGTCTGTTTGTTCTCTAGCTTGTGGTTTACTGAGTTTCTCAAAGCGAACCATTCATTAGTTTGCCCATGTTACTGTTTGAACTAAGTCAGAGTTAGATATATCTTATATCCCATGAAAACTTCTGGAGCATATTGGTATCCGACATAGGAAAATTCATTGCAACCTTTCTTGTCAGACAACTTGCAGAAGGTTTTATTTCAATGTCTTGTTCCACGTTATAAGAATGAGTTGTCAATAGAAATAATGTGAAACCTGTCGCAAGCAATATCTACTGTTGTTGAAGAACCTTCTCCAAACTCACCTACGTTTCCATAAGAAACAGCAGTTGTATATTCGTAAGTTCAGGAACTATTTCTGACCTTCTAATGCATTGTCGCATTCGTTATACCATTCGGAAACATTTCGTTCATGGCATCCAAAACTGTTGGCGTTATATTCTGAGCGCAGCGTACATTTCATATGGGTAAAAATATAGAATAGTTGGATTTATATATCATAATAGACGCCACTCGGACCAAGCTTTAATTCTTCCTGACTGAGTTTTTAACTCTTCTTTTCCTTCATTGCCACTACTTTCACTAGATGAAGTTACTTCTTCACTACTTTCACTTTGTTCTACTCTTCTCTTCTTCTTTGGTGTAGCTTTTGGTAAATTGCCCTCTGCTTCAAGTTGTAGCATCTTTGCCTCATGGTTCACCTAGTATGTTGTAAATTCCCATGTCCTTTTTGCCTTTGGCTCTGGTCGCCCATCTCAGGTAACCGATATCCTAGAAAGATTTTGTCATAGTTTGTATTTGAGTCTTCCTTTATTGTTTGCATGACTCTTTCCTGAGTTTCTGGTTCAAGCTCTTCAACAGAGCTTGTCCATATGGAATAAGCTCGTTTCCAAATATATGTTTTTGTAGCCATTCTGGTTTTCTTTCCATGTAACCAATAATATCTTTTGTGAATGGGAAAGCTTTTACCCAACGTTTCAGTCTTGCGTCATTTATTTCTGTAGTTGGTTATATTTGTCATGGAACATGTTTTTCAATACTAACATTTCATTTGGTACTGTCCATTTGGAGTTTTCTTAAATATTCATCCCTTCTCGGTTCATTGTCTGCAAAGTAAGTTTTTATGACATTTTGCAAACTTTCGTTTGCAAGGTCATGTACAATAGGTTCTCTTCCTTCTCTCTCCCTAACTTTCTTTCTAAACTCTTCACCAAATATACCATCTCTATGGTTCTGTGTAGTTCTTTGAGATAAATGTTCTAGAACGTCAGGTGTTATATTTCCCTCAGCCATGTTCATTTCATACTGGTCCAAAATATCTGCATCTTTCATATCTTTCAATGGCATTAAAGCCGCGCTGAAAATACCAGTTATATCTGGTTCACCATTCACTTCCATTGCGTCTACAACTTCTTGGAATTGAGGTTGTAAGTTTATGAACCACCTATTCGGATTAGCTTTATGACCCCATCTCATTGTAGTTCCATAGTCTGCAGAAACAAAAGTAGGTTTGTTTCCATATTGGTTAGGTTCTGAATGAACTTTAAACAATGTTTCATTTCTATATGTTTTGTTGAAATTTAACCTTTTATTTTCACCGAGTTCAGCCAAAGATTGAACGTTATATGGTCGTAAGTAAAAAGGATTATTGTATTTGCGTACATTTTCTTTCAGTACTTCCATTCTATGCTGAATATTTTCATCTGGTGTTGGAGTCTTTTGTATGTCGGTGAAAATTTTTCGATATTCTTCTACTATGTCAGCCGAATTTTTCTTATACTCTTGGAAAGATTCCATATTCTCCTCATACTCTTGTTGAGGGTCAAGATTTTTCGGCTGTTCCAAATCTTCATCTAGTTCTGTGACGTTGGTTTCCAAAGGAGGGACTTGTTCGTTTCCTTCAGGCTCTTCTAGCTGTTGTTGCTGAACTATTTCTTCCATGTCTGGTTGTATCTGAACTTCTTCCTGTGGAGTTTCTTGTACCTCATCTGCTGGCATTTCATATATTCCGAGACCGTTTTTAAAAAGTTCCCTATCTAAGTCATTCGGACTCATAAACCTTTCTTCTTTCGTTCCGTCTCTATTTTTTACGCGTTTCATGAAGAGAGTTGAATTATCATTTAGCTCTGACATAAAATATCTCGGAGTAAATTCATCCATGTCATTTGGATGATATGCTATTAAATCATATCCCTTTGCGAGCTTGTATTTTCCAGGTTTGAGATTATATCCGATTTTATGCTGAACCATAAAGCTAAATAGGTTCGGGTCAGTATTTCCTTCCTTGAACTTTCTAATAGCTTCTTTATATCTGTCACTAAAGTCAAGAGTATCTGGGTAACCATAATCTTCCTTAAGCATTTTTAAGAATTCTTGGTTTCCTTTTTCTCTACTTCTTTTATGTCCTTGCTCTGTTTGTGGTTGTTGTGCAGGGTTTTGAACTGTTGGTTGTTGTTGCTGTGCTGGATTTTGAACTGTTGGTTGTTGTGTTGGTTGTTGTTGCTGTGCTGGATTTTGAACTGTTGGTTGTTGTTGTGGTGCATGCCTGTGTCTGTGTCCATGTGACGATGTAAATGTTTTAGGTAGTCCTGGTGCAGGTGCTTCTCTTGGAGGGTTTGGTGGTATATAAGTTCCACCAGCTGGCACATATGTTCCATCTGCAGCATAATGTCCTACCTGACTTTTCGTTTTTAAGAAAGCATTTACTAGGTCTGTTTTGGTCTGTTGTAACTCTTTTTCTTGACTTTCCACAACAGCTGCTCTAACGGCGTCATAGGCACTTTGAACTGACTGTCTCGTTGCTGCATCTGTTATTTTCGTCATATTTTGTGCTACTTCTCTTAACTCTTTGTCGAAACCTTCAGACTTCAGTTTCTTTCCAGATGAGAAGTCGTTCACTAGTTTCACCTTACTATGAAGAGCTTCGAAGGCATTCTTAAAGTCAGCATTCATTAAAGCTTCATTTGAACTGTCTTCATCCGCTTGTATTTTTGTCCTTATTGACCCTATAAGTTGGGCTGCTTTGGCGTTGGCTTGGGCATCTAACCAGTCATTATTAGCTTTTATAATATCTGCGCTTTTCATTGCCTTTTGCATGGCTGCGTCGTTATTTTTACTTTCTTGTGCTAAGTTTTCATACTGTACGGTTTGGTTTTGCAACTGTAAAAGTTTTTCTGCCTTTACATTTGCTTCAACTTCTTTTTTATACTCATCGCTATCCATATATGTCTTTATGGCTTTTTGTTTTATCTCTTCATCTTTCAGTACTTTATATTGAGTAGTATGGTTTTTCAAATTTATAACATCTTGTTCCATTTTTGCTACTTCTGCTGCTTTTTCTGACACTTTTTTCGCATATTCCTCTGTACTTAGTTCTTTCAGTTGTTCTTCTTTCTTCTTTTTCTCTACGTTTAACTCATTGAGTTTCTTTGTGTGTCTGTCATATTCTAGTTTCTTTTCGTTTTCACTTATTTGTTTCTGTATGTCTATGTTTGACTTTTTGACATCTGTTATTTGATTTTTGAGTGAACTCAAATTCATTTGACTTTGAGGGTTATAAGCTGTTCCGTCTGCAGCTCCACCATAGCCTGCCATTTTCGCTAAAAGTGCCGCTCTTAAACCTCCACTCTGTGCACCAATAACTCGGTTTAAAAGCATAGGGTTGCTTGACATTTGTTGCAACATAGTGGGGTCATTCAGCATTTGTTGTTGCAACTGTTGTTGTGGTGTCAGTTTTACTATTGGATGTTTCAATGCTCCCTTCCTCTTACGTATATTCTTACGTAGCTTACGTGGCATTTTAAGTGAAGTTAAAAAGCGGTTTTTGACAGATGTTTATATGACACTTTTTGTTCAGCTCAAAAAACTACTTGGTATTGAAAATCCCATGTGTTATAGAACGGCGGGTCCACTATAAAGAAAACATTTTCCTTGTCTTTATATTTTTCATACAACTCTGTCCAATGACATCTCACAAACTCTATACCCTCAATATATTTTTCTATGTCCTCTTTGAAAACATTTGTATAGTTAAGATATAAAACTTTTGACATAAGTGTTTCAATGTCATGAACTCTTATAGCACCACTATATAATAGTCTAGCAGATATACTATCCCAGTCTATATATTCTGCTTTTTTCAAAACCTCTCTCACAATATTTTTCTTATCTAATGGTATACGTTCCATCTTACCTATAGGTATCTTTTCTTTTAACTCTTTCAATATATTGTTTGTGTCTGGAATATGTTTGAGACGGTCCATATAGTTGTCGAAGTCATTGCATATAATCTTTGAGTCTGGGAATATTGTATGGCACAAATGGGATATATAGAAACTTCCACCGAACAAATCTACAAATGTTAGACCATTCGGTAGTTTCTTAAGTTCTCTCAATATAATATCTTTACATCTACTCTTATTTCCAAAGAACGGTAACAGCGGTTTTGTAAAATTCATTTATATATAATAATAAAAATGTTTTTACCCGAAAAGTGACAGAAAAGTGACAAAACATTTCTTATGGAAAAAAAAAAAAAAAAAAAAGGCAGTGGGGCTTCCAGGCACTTCGTGCCTTCTAGCCCCTAAGAAACTAGAGGAGGAATGAGACAAAGACCAGATGAAAAAAATAAAATATTATAATAAAATTAAATTTTTAGTCTTAAATTGTTTTTTTATTCGGTATATTCTGAATCTTGAATGTCTTGGAAATTTTCTTCTTCTTCGCTCTCTGAGGTGAGGATTTCTTCGACTTCTTCTTCTTCGCCATTGGGATCAACAAATCCTGCAATGAAAACTTTGTATATACCTTCTTGAGGAGTCTCTATGATGAAAGTCGTATTGTTGAGGAAATGGAACTCGACATCTTGAACAAATTGGCAACTGCTGTGTGTGAATTTTGCAATTGTGAGAGGCTTTCCTTTATAGCCCTTGGGAAAGCTTGAGATAGTTACTGTTCCTCCATATGGAACTCTGGCAGGAATATCTAAAGCAACAGTTGTTATAACGTGGAAATTGTCTACGAATTGAGGCATAGGTTCAATGCAGTATAGTCGTTTTGACTGGTTGTCTTTTGTGTAGAAATATAAATAGAATGACCTTTCACCATGTTCATTCAATTCTTCCAAATAATTGTATGAATTTGGATATAAACGGACAAATTCAGCAACTTTAACTTCTTGTAAATGCTTCTGCAAGTTCTTTGGAAACAAGTGAATGAACTGGTCAATAGCTTGCAACGCTATGAGATTGGCAGTAACGGGTAAATATGAAGCAAACATGTCAACAAGTACGCCAGGGTCTTTGATTTCGTTTTCAAGAGGCTGAATGGCATCCATGACAGCTTGAAACATCTCGTTATAATCTCGATTGTCTTCTGAACCCCACTGTTCATTTAACTTATCTAACAATTCTAACCTTTGCTTTGCGTATTTTCTACGAACTTTCTCTGAAAGAGGAGTGTCGCTATCTTGTGTGTCTTGAATTTGAGACTTAAATTGTTTGCAAAAGGCGAGATATCGTGTTTGCGACCTAGTGGTCATTGCAGAATGTGTTTCTGTATGTTCGATTGGATGTGTTTCTGTATTTTCGGGTGGTTGTGTTTCTGTATGTTCGATTGGAGTCTGATTGGTATGAACTTCTTCTGAAAATGCTTCTGTTCCGATAGTTGTTGTTGCTTGACCTGTTGGCTGAGCTGTATCTGTTGTGTTTTGAGAAGAAGAACTCAAATTGTTGGACAATTTGTTTGCAATTGTATGAGGAAGTTGCTTTGGTATTATAGGAGGTCGTAAGGGTTTTGAGAATGGTGAGACATAAGTTGTAGGAACTTTAACTGCAGAGGTAGTCGACGAATTGTTTGCAATTGTATGAGGAAGTTGCTTTGGTATTATAGGAGGTTGTAAGGGTTTTGAGAATGGTGAGACATAAGTTGTAGGAACTTTAACTGCAGAGGTAGTCGACGAATTGTTTGCAATTGTATGAGGAAGTTGCTTTGGTATTATAGGAGGTTGTAAGGGTTTTGAGAATGGTGAGACATAAGTTGTAGGAACTTTAACTGCAGAGGTAGTCGACGAATTGTTTGCGACACTTTTTCTTCCTTCCATTAGACAAAAATAAACTGTTTTTTTCGGACTACTCATAGAAAAGTTTAAAATAAACCGTTTTCGTCAACGGAGACCCCCTCTATTTTTTTATTTTATTTAATAGTTACCGTTGGAAAACCGTTCCATCTCAAATATTGAATGAACTATAAACGTTTTTTGTTTTCTATAATACTTTTTTGTCCAACGGTAAAACTTTTTACACAACGGTTTTTGAGAGTCGTCGCTGTTGACCGAGTAGTTTTTTGTGCTGAACAAAAAGTGTCATATAAACATCTGTCAAAAACCGCTTTTTAACTTCACTTAAAATGCCACGTAAGCTACGTAAGAATATACGTAAGAGGAAGAGAGCATTGAAACATCCAATAGTAAAACTGACACCACAACAACAGTTGCAACAACAAATGCTGAATGACCCCACTATGTTGCAACAAATGTCAAGCAACCCTATGCTTTTAAACCGAGTTATTGGTGCACAGAGTGGAGGTTTAAGAGCGGCACTTTTAGCGAAAATGGCAGGCTATGGTGGAGCTGCAGACGGAACAGCTTATAACCCTCAAAGTCAAATGAATTTGAGTTCACTCAAAAATCAAATAACAGATGTCAAAAAGTCAAACATAGACATACAGAACAAATAAGTGAAAACGAAAAGAAACTAGAATATGACAGACACACAAAGAAACTCAATGAGTTAAACGTAGAGAAAAAGAAGAAAGAAGAACAACTGAAAGAACTAAGTACAGAGGAATATGCGAAAAAAGTGTCAGAAAAAGCAGCAGAAGTAGCAAAAATGGAACAAGATGTCATAAATTTGAAAAACCATACTACTCAATATAAAGTACTGAAAGATGAAGAAATAAAACAAAAAGCCCTGAAGACATATATGGATAGCGATGAGTATAAAAAAGAAGTTGAAGCAAATGTAAAGGCAGAAAAACTTTTACAGTTGCAAAACCAAACCGTACAGTATGAAAACTTAGCACAAGAAAGTAAAAATAACGACGCGGCTATGCAAAAGGCAATGAAAAGCGCAGAATATATAAAAGCTAACAATGACTGGTTAGATGCCCAAGCCAACGCTAAAGCAGCCCAACTCATAGGGTCAATAAGGACAAAAATACAAGCGGATGAAGACAGTTCAAATGAAGCTTTAACAAATGCTGACTTTAAGAACGCCTTCGAAGCTCTTCATAGTAAGGTGAAACAAGTGAACGACTTCTCATCTGGAAAGAAACTGAAGTCTGAAGGTTTCGACAAAGAGTTAAAAGAAGTAGCACAAAATATGACGAAAATAACAGATGCAGCAACGAGACAGGCAGTTCAAAGTGCCTATGACGCCGTTAGAGCAACTGTTGTGAAAAGTCAAGAAAAAGAGTTACAACAGACCAAAACAGACCTAGTAAATGCTTTCTTAAAACGAAAAGTCAGGTAGGACATTACGCTGCAGATGGAACATATGTGCCAGCTGGTGGAACTTATATACCACCAAACCCTCCAAGAGAAGCACCTGCACCAGGACTACCTAAACATTTACATCGTCACATGGACACAGACACAGGCATGCACCAAAACCAACACAACAACCAACACAAAAACACACAACAACCAACAGTTCAAAACCAGCAACAACACACACCAACAGCAACCAACCAGTTCAAAACCTGCACAACAACAACCACAAACAGAGCAAGGACATAAAAGAAGTAGAGAACAAGGAAACCAAGAATTCTTAAAAATGCTTAAAGAAGAGTGTGGTTTCCCAGATACTATTGACTTTAGTGACAGATATAAAGAAGCTATTGGAAAGTTCAAGGATGGAAATACTGACCCGAACCTATTTAGCTTTATGGCTCAGCACCAAATCGGATATAATTTCAAACCTGGAAAATACAAGCTCGCTAAGGGATATGATTTAATAGCATATCATCCAAATGACATGACGAATTTACTCCGAGATATTTGATGTCAGAGCTAAATGATGATTCAACTTTCGTCATGAAACGCGTAAAAAATAGAGACGGAACGAAAGAACAAAAGCTTATGAATGCGGATGACGTAGATAGGGAAATTGTTGAAAACGGTCTCGGAATATATGAAATGCCAGCAGATGAGGTACAAGAAACTCCACAGGAAGAAGTTCAGATACAACCAGACATGGAAGAAATAGTTCAGCAACAACAGCTAGAAGAGCCTGAAGGAAACGAACAAGTCCTCCTTTGGAAACTAACTTCACAGAACTAGATGAAGATTTGGAACAGCCGAAAAATCTTGACCCTCAACAAGAGTATGCGGAGAATATGGAATATTTCCAAGAGTCTAAAAAAATTCGGCTGACATAGTAGAAGAATATCGAAAAATGTTTGCCGACATACAAAAGACTCCAACACCAGATGAAAATATTCAGCATAGAATGGAAGTACTGAAAAAAAATGTACACAAATACAACAACCCTTTTTACTTACGAGCATTTAACGTTCAATCTTCGGATGAACTCGGTGAAATAAAAGGTTAAATTTCAAGAAAACATATAGAAATGAAACATTGTTTAAAGTTCATTCAGAACCTAGCCAATATGGAAACAAACCTACTTTTGTTTCTGCAGACGATGGAACTACAATGAGATGGGGTCATAAAGCTAATCCAGATAGGTGGTTCATAAACTTACAACCTCAATTCCAAGAAGTTGTAGACGCAATGGAAGTGAATGGTGAACAGATATAGCTGGTATTTTCAGCGCGGCTTTAATGCCATTGAAAGATATGAAAGATGCAGATATTTTGGACCAGTATGAAATGAACATGGCTGATGGAAATATAACACCTGACGTTCTAGAACATTTATCTCAAAGAACTACACAGAACCATAGAGATGGTATATTTGGTGAAGAGTTTAGAAAGAAAGTTAGGGAGAGGAAGGAAGAGAACCTATTGTACATGACCTTGCAAACGAAAGTTTACAAAATGTCATAAAAACTTACTTTGCAGACAATGAACGAGAAGGGATGAATATTTAAGAAAACTCAAATGGACAGTACCAAATGAAATGTTAGTATTGAAAAACATGTTCCTTGACAAAATAAAACCAACTACAGAAATAAATGACGCAAGACTGAAAGATTGGGTAAAAGCTTTCCCATTCACAAAAGATAGTTGGTAACATGGAAAGAAAACCAGAATGGCTACAAAAACATATATTTGGAAACGAGCTTATTCCATATGGACAGGCACTGTTTGAAGAGCTTGAACCAGAAACTCAGGAAAGAGTCATGCAAACAATACGCGAAGACTCAAATACAACTATGACAAACTCTTTCTAGGATATAGGTTACCTGAGATGGGCGACCAGAGCCAAAAGGCAAAAAGGACATGGGAAATTTGCAACATACTAGATGAACATAATGCAAAGATGCAACAACTTCAAGCAGAGGGCAATGAAGGAAAAAGAAGAGTTAAAAACTCAGTCAGGAAGAAAGTAAAGCTTGGTCCACGTGGGTTCTATTATGACATATAAATCCAACTATTCTATATTTTTACTCATATGAAATGTACGCCGCTCAGAATATAACGCCAACAGTTTTGGATGCATGAATGGAAATGTTTCCGAATGGTATAACGAATGCGACAATGCCATTAGAAGGTCAGAAATAGTTCCTGGAACTTACGAATATACAACTGCTGTTTCTTATGGAAACGTAGGTGAGTTTGGAGAAGGTTCTTCAACAACAGTAGATATTGCTTGCGACAGGTTTCATATAATTTCTATTGACAACTCTTTCTTATACGTGGAACAAGACATTGAAATAAAACCTTCTGCCAAGTTGTCTGACAAGAAAGGTTGCAATGGAATTTTCTATGTCGGATACCAATATGCTCCAGAAGTTTTCATGGGATATAAGATATATTCTAACTCTGACTTAGTTCAAACAGTAACATGGGCAAACTATGAATGGTTCGCTTTGAGAAACTCAGTACAACCACAAGCTAGAGAACAAACAGACCAGTATGCAACTATTGAGAAAATAAGAAGACTTGACCCTAACGTTCCAGGAGTTTATGTTAACCTTTCTGGACAAACTGCAGCAGCAGTAACCAAAGTAAAACTGAAACTTAGAGTTCCTTTGTCATCTTTCCTCATCTTCAGGTTTTTAAGATACTTGCCAAACTGGGCAGGAAAAATTTCTATCGAACTTACTCCAAGCAAAAATAACTTAGTCATTGCACCAACACAAGACCCATTCACTCTTACAGAAGTAGTGGGAACAAATAAAATGTCATTCGCCGACTTTTGCAAAAACAAAGTTGACTTAGACTTTGGTTTCTCAAACCTCAACACTGAAGTAAACTATTATTTCAATGCTGCTGGAGATGCTTGGGACCCAGTTAAGTTCACATGCGAAAAATTTGAATGCAAGAGAATAGAAAGCAGACTTGCAGTCTATATGTTGGACCCAGATATTTCAAATGCTTTAGCTGCCAAATATATTGCAGTTCCACTTATGTTCCCTATACACCAAATATCTGTCAAAGACTTTGCAGGTGAAGTTGGAAACCAAAGTGCTGACCCAGGTGCAAGAACAGATATTGCTTTAACAACTGCAATGAAACATGCAGATACTATGTTTGTACTGTTCAGACGAACTATAAATGACTATTCTTGCTTCTACAACCCTGGTATTAAATACCATATAAACATAGATGGCAAATTATCCAAGAGAAGAATATTCTACAGTTGAGGATATGAGGTCATACAACTTGACATTAGATGCTATGAACTTTAACAACAACTTCACAACAACCATTAACCCTGAAATGCAAAGTTCTATTATGCCATATGTGAAAGTATGGACTCATACAGGAGGTCAAAAAACTCAATATACAAATGGAGACCGTTCAAACTTTTGGCTTGGCATTCCATTTGCTGACTCAGAAGACTTTATGGGTGGTATTTCAACTGTTGGTACAGTTCAAATACAATATATCTGGTGACAGAGACGGTCCAGAATGAATTGAAGAGCAAAGAAGTTTACAAAACCAATAGCACTTTTCACGGAAGATGCTCTTTTGAAGATTCGTTCGATGAAACCTGCTGGGGCTCCTCAGATTGGCATAACGACAGCTTCCATCGAGCAGATTTTGGCAGCAGGTCAGTAAGTTGTTCTTGAACTGACTTCTCTCCGTCAAATATTGACAGTACGCCAGTTTTGACATATATTGTATTATAAACTTACCTTTAGAAATATCGGTCAGTTTTGTTGTTATATTTTTGTCTGCTTCAAGAACTTTCACCATTTCAGTTATACCAACTTTCTTTGCTTTATGAAAATATTTTGGTTCAGCAAAGACTGCTATTCTATAACATTTTCCATTGTTTGTGTAAAGAACTATTCTGTCAATGTATTTGTATTGTTTGTGTGTGTAAACTTTGTTCTGCTTCAATTCGAAGAGATACTCGAATACGTCCATCTTTTTATTCTAAGTAAAATGTCATTTCCGAAAAATAGAAGCGTAAGTGTTTCAAAAGGTTTAATGGCGGTGGCAGATGTGAAGTTAAATTCACCAACTCAAACAAACAGTCAAAGTGTTGTTGTCAATGTCAAAGAAAGAGATGTTGAAGTGGGGAAACCATACGAAGACGAAGATGGTATAACAATAGTTCCTGTAAAAGAACAACCAACATATCCTGAAGTTAGCAGAGACTTAAGTTCTGTTGCAGATATTCGAAACGACTACCAACAACTTAAAGACAAACTTAAAACTCAGGAGAAGATTTGTCAAGCTTTGGTATAATGTTAAACTTGGTCGAACACAACCCTGTAAAAGTGAACTCATATGTCATTGCACCTCATGAAATTTTGAAAGAACTATTGAAACTTTTGACAGAGGCAGACGATATAAACATCAAAGAAATAGAACCCGACATTAGTTGCTGTGGTGTTTCATATAATGTCATTGACAAGATATACGTTATGAAAGGAGGTGAAACGTTGAACTTAAAATATAGTTTCCCAGACGTCATAAAAATATTTGACGACCACAACATTTCATTAAAATTTACTTGCTAAGTAAATGGCAGAAGACATATGGTTTATACTATTACGACTAAAAACCCTGAGTCATATAATTCTATAACAACAAACTTACAAAGTCCTCAAGGACGATATTGTAAACTAACCTTAAACACGATGACGACTAAAGCCTGTTTTGCTCTTTTGACACCAGAAGACTTTGTTGTTGTGAATGGTAAAAAATACTTCTTTGAAGATACTTACTCAGATATACCACCAACAGGTTTTGTTGACTTATTTAATACTTTAAGGACGGATGTAACATGTGCTGCAACTAGAGCAGGTTTCATTATGTTTGGATGTCCGACTGAGTTTACTATAAACGATATGAGCTATAATACAAAACTTATATCTGGTTTTTACTACCAACAGTTTCCTATAACAGGAAAAGGTGTCATACAAGGTTTGTCTGTTCCATTGACTTTAAGTACACCTATTTTATATATTGTTTCAAACTTAGGTTCAAAGTGTTATTCGAATGTCGACAGAAACTACTATGACCAAAAGATACTCATGCGTATAAACAACACTTTCTCTGCTGGTTTGCCTATTGTTCATTCGAATGCAGAGTTTTCAGCTTTAGTAAACTCAAACACTTTAGCAAACATAAACTTAACCTTAGTTGACGCAAACTTTGTTCCTGTAAAACTTTTATGTCCTATGTATTTGTCAATGACGGCAGAAAGTTTCGAATTGGAAGATGCAACTGGTGAAAGTATTGTATTACAAGAACAACTTCAACAACAAATAGCTCAAGAACAACAAATGCAACAAATGGAACAACAAAGTCAAGAATAAAAAAAATATTTTTTTTATTTTTATAAAAATGTACAGAATAGATGTTTCAGATTTTTATGACTTCCAAGCATTCAGAAATATGTGTCCATTTAGAGACTATAACAAAGCAGTCGAGAATTTGAAACGTTTAGTCATTTATGTCGACTCTGCCCCAGAATGTTATGTCATGAAAGAATGGGATGTTGTCTTTAACAAACCAAGAGCAACAATAGTTTCAGAACAAGAATGTAGACAGAAACTTAAGAAAATAAAAGTCGTACAAGTTGGTATGAAGATGTTAGATGCTTGGGATATCTTATTGTCAAAGTTAGAAGATTTTTCAGTTCGTGGTATAAAGTTCTATACACCATCTCCAAACTTCTATTCTATCTTCACTGGATATAAATATGAACAAGTAGAATGGAAAGAAAATGTTATAGAAGCTTGGTTAGACCATGTCAAAGAAATTATATGCAATGGAAACGAAAGAGTCTATGAGTATATCTTATGTTGGTTTGCAAACATCTTACAACATCCAAGTGCTAAAAATGAAACTGCTCTCATTATAATTGGAAAACAAGGAACAGGTAAGAACACTTTCTTTACAGATATTTTGTGCAAACTGTTAGAGGGCTATTCGAACCCGAATATGACAAACTTAGAAAACATCTGCGGTAAATTTAACTCTTCAATAGAGAATATGAAACTTATAGTATGTAACGAACTTCAAAGTATAGATACAACAAAAGTTTTGAACTCAGATGCTTTGAAGAGTCTTATAACAGACAAAGTTGGAGTTGTTGAAAGAAAGTATAAAGACCAAAGAGTTTGTGAAAATGTTGCAAACTTCATTATGGTTTCAAACAATGCTGTTCCGATGAAGTTAGAAAGTTCTGACAGAAGATATGTAGTTGTCAGAACGTCAGATTCTCATATGCAAGATACAGAATATTTTGACGACTTAGCAGAAACTTTGACACCTAACTTTTACAACCACTTGTTCTCATATTTCATGACATTAGATATTTCTAAGTTCAATCCAAGACAAATTCCACATACCGAAGAGAGACAAACATTGTTAGAAGCAAACAAGAGTGTATATGAACTGTTCATAGATGAGACTAACTTTGAGTGTTTAGATGAAAGGTCATTGTACGATTCATATAAACAATATTGTCAAGAGTATGGTTATATGGCAGCGTCTAAACGAACATTCTTGGCAAATGTCAAAATCTTTTAGACATACAGAACGGCGTATATACAAAGAAAAATTTTTCTGAGTAAATTTAAAAAAAATATTTTTTTATCCGATAGAAAAGATGACGAAATTATTCAGTCAACAAGTACATGACAGAAGTCAAAGAAGAACTAGACCCATTCGCTTATTTGAATGTTTACTTCTACCATTTTGAAAAGTCTACATTTGACAAAGTTTGGAACATCGAACCAGTTAAGTTTGCTATTGTGACTAAAAATGGTGCGAAATTTGAAGACTTAGACATAGAAGGTTTGTTAGCAGTCAAAGAAATTTTGACAGAAGGTTTCAAACCTTAAAGAAGGCAAAGCATACAAACTTGTTATACCTTATGAACCAAAGAAAGCAGACGACTATGAATATTATGAGTCTAAGATAGTTGAAGTTCAAGGTAAATTGGGTAAAAAGATTTTAGAGTCTAAGCCAGTGTTTGCTCCTAAAGAGGAAGAGAACATTGACATTGACCCAGAAATGTTCTAAAAATAAAATTTTATTTTTACATGTCAAATTTCTTTTTCTCTGGCTCTGGCTCTGGCTCTTTCTTCTCTTCTTCTACTTTCTTTTCTTTCTTCTCTTCTTCTTCTTCTTTTTCTGGTGGAGTTATGTCAAATTTCGCAACCATATTTATGTAAAAGTTCTTTGTCCTTTAATAGCTCTTCTATTCTGTTTTCTATTTCATCTTCAAGAACAGCGCATGTGTCTTCTTTGCATTCTAAGAACTTTTGTTGGACTTCATCTTCCAAGAGGCGTCATCTCTGTCAACAAGTCTGTCATTGACAAATTTTAAGACTTCTCTGCTTAATGTTTTATGGTTCTTGTCATATTCCCAGAAACAGAACTTTAGAACAAATTCACCTTTCTTGTTTACACTATGTAAGATTTTATGGTCGACAGATGTTTTGCTGTCGAAAAGTTTGTCTCGAATATAGATAGCGAAATCGCTAGACATTTTCTAAAAGATAAAAATTTTAATTTTTCTAAAAATATGTTAGAAAAAAAGTTTGCTGACATTGACAAGAAATTTGAGAATGTTTTAAACAAGAACAAGAGGAAGTTAGAAAATGCTCAGATAAAGCCTATACATGACAAGTTCTTATTTGCTCAGAATGGTATAACAGGTCTAATTGCACCACCTGGGTCGGGTAAGACTTTCACTTATCTTAAAATGGCTGCACAACAACAAGAACTAGATGAGAAGAACCCATTCTATGAGTTAGTTGTCATTTGTAGTACTTCTGGTCAATTTGACCAAACCGTCAATTCGTTCAAAGATATTATAAAGAAGTCTAAGTTAGTATGTATAAAGATCTGAGTTGTTAGATTGGATAAAGAAGTACCAAAGAAGAGTTTTGAAGTACAATGCTATAAATGAGTATATGTCAATTCGAAGTTTAAAGACCCAAATGAGGAAATGCAGAGAATATTAGAGAAGAAACACTTCAGAAACAAACAGAAAGAGATAGAATACATTTCGAAGAAATTGCAATCTTACGATTGGAAGACTTACCCTCATAGATGTCTTCTTATCTTAGATGATTTGCTCTCATCCTTTGTTAAAGAACAGAGAACAAGATATGTGTCGAATTCTTAAGAAGCTCAGACACTTTAACATCTCTGTTGTCATTTGTGTACAGACAGCAAAGAGTTTAAGTAAGGATGTAAAAGAATACTTACTGACATATACTTTTCCCTGGATTGTCCGAAGACGATTTCATGGAACTTATGAAAGAGTCCATGGCAGGTAAGTTTGACAGACATGAACTATGGGAGAAGTACAAAGTCATACAAGACCCTCATACTTCTTTCAGAATTCACATCTACGCAAACAAAGTTCAAATTGTAAAAAGTCAAGCTTGAAAAATGTAAGTGTTTAGTCTTAGTAAGTCTGTTGTGGTGCTGGGGCTGTCGGTTCTTCTGGCTTTGGAAGGCATTCAGGAAGAGGAACGTGAGACATTCGTTTGTGTCCTGTTGGAAGGAAAAACTTTTCCTGTTGTCGGGAAATTTTTTTCCTGTTGGAAGGAAGGACTCGGAATGTCGGAAGGAAATTTTTTTCCAGTTGTCGGGAAATTTTTTTCCAGTTGTCGGGAAAAATTTTTCCAGTGTGTCGGGAAAAAAGTTCTCAAATTTTCGAAAATTTGAATGGTTTACGGACGGACAACAGGAAAATTTTTTCCAGTTGTCGGGAAAATTTTTTCTTGTCGGATGGAAAAACTTTTTCTGTCGGATGGAAGAACTTGGGAATGTCGGAAGGAAGGACTCGGAATGCCAGAAGGATTTGACGAGGCAATTTACTTTATAGAGCTACCTGAGCCATCTGAAGTCAAGCGTAAAAAATAAATGGTTCATCTACCCTACTTGTTTGAAGTTGTCAAATACTCTGTTATTTTTTCCTTTAACAATGGCAAATCTTCTTTGAAGGTAAGAATTGTACAACCTTCATATCATAGTGTGTTTGAGGTAACGTATCTTGAACTATTTGTTTCACATCTTCATTGGGGTCATTGAATCGGTAAGTTTTCGCGATAGAACCAATTTCTGTCAGATTTGTAAATCTTAGCAAGGTCGTAAAGCTTTTGTTGTTTCTTCTGACTAAATGCAACATAACCATATCTTTATCTTCTTCATTTTCCATCTTCAGTATAAATATATACTTATAGTTCTTTTCTTTCCTTTTGGTACCGAACGTGGTATTCTTTCTGAATGCTTTTGTCTTCTTTTTCATATCTTCTCTCTGCTTTGTTACAAAGTTCGTCAAGTAGCATAAGTATGTAGATTGCATAACGAGGTGAAGCCCACATTGCTATTGAACTAACTAGGAACTTATGAACATATATACCTTTTAGATGTGATGGTAAGTTTTGTCTGTCTTGGTACATCTTTTTAAGTTCTACATGTTCAAACTCACTGAGGAGTTCATGAGTGCTATTTAATTCAAACCAATCTTGTGGTTTCATAGTATCTGGAGCAAAACATGCTGTCAAAATACTTTGCATTTGGTACATATCGTCTTTGACCGAACGAATGAGACGGAGTTGTTTGTTAAACTGAACCCACTCATATTCTTCATTTATAGCTTCATGGACTATAACTGTTGTTGTGTTCTCTGTTGTTGTCATATCTGTCCTTACATACAAAATAAAAAAATAAATAAAAATAAAACTAACTTTATTTTTTCTGTCTTAAGGAAATTCATGATTTCATAGAGTTTTGGCGACCCCGAAGGAAGTCGGTCTAGAGAAATTTCACTGTTTTTCATAGAGTTTTGGCGACTAAGGTTTCTTACCTACTCGCTGTTCTTCACTGTTTCCGAGGGAAGCAATCTTATGCCATTTTACTCAGAATTTTGTTGCTGAATTCAGCAAAAATATATTTTAGGGTAGATGGTTAGATCTAACCTGTCTTCTACCCTCTTTTCTACCCCAGTTATTTTATAAGCGTTTTACATGGTAAACGTTATTTTTACATGTATTTTTCAGCAACTTCGTCAAATAATTTTATAGCTTTATCTATCTCATCTACTTCAAACGTTTCTTTACCTTTTATGGGAGCACCATACATTTTCTCAAAACTTTTCAAGTAGTTCTGTTTCAGCAGCTCTCATATCGTTAACCAACACAACCTTGACTCTATTGACTGTACTGTCATATCTTAGAGTTATATTATATGTTCTTCCTATCTTATATCTTTTTGTGTTGAAGTCCTTCGGTTTCTGAACGATGTAAAGTAAGCCTTCACTGCAACGTTCTGAGTCGAATAAACCATATGTTATGAAGTTATATCCAACAACTGGGTCTAACCATAACAAAACTATTGGTATAAGACTTTTGTCGATGAGATATGCTGTAGTTCCATAGAATCTTACCGATATCATAAGCTCAGGATTTCTTGTCAAAATTTTCTGACTAGAAGCAATTCTAACCCAGTCCTTTGCTTTCTTTCCAGATGGAGATAAAATGTCTGACAAAGAATATTTGTTGTATTTCTTTGAGTATCTTACGTTTAAATCACCTATTCTAACCACTTTGGTGTCATTGTCTATCTTTCCAACTGTTTCAAACTCAATGTTTGACATATCTTTCTTTAAATCTGCATAGTCGTTTCTCATACGTTCTATCTCTTTGACGGAGTAGTTATATTTCCTAATTGCTGCCTTACATTTTGAACATTGCGGGTTCATTTTTGCGTTATATTCTGAAACCTTACCTGCTAGTATGACTAAGGCGTCAATTGCTCTCTTTAACTCAAAAGTTGCGGGTTTTATCTGTTCATTCCATATCTTACCTCTTCTATCTTTATCTCTTATCTGCCATACACATTCAGCAACTAACGAAACAAAGTTGTCGTAGGTCTTAAACTCCCCAGATTTGTATATGTCAGAGATGTTCTTATATACCATATCGCAATCTTTGTCCATGACTTTGTGGTTGCAATGAAATCCAAGAAACTCATAGTTAACCTTTCGTATGAACTTCTTTATTTCTACTGAGTCAGTTGCTTTGACTTCTATTTCATCGAATTCTGGAATAGTAAGCTTTTGTTGCTGGATTTCAGGCAATTTGGGTAAATGGTCGATGAGGTCCTGCATGTCATAAAGATACTGTTCATTTGTTTCATCTTTCGCACAACAGTCCAAAGTACTTGTTAAAAGTTCTTGCTTTATCTTCTGGATTTCTGTTTCGAAAGTATATGAAGAAGGAATGAAGCTTTTCATCTCTACTAACATTGAAGTTGGGTTCATGACTAACGAGTTTGGTGCTGTTGTTGCTAACATGTTCTTACAATAAAAATAAAAAATATTTTTTTAAAAAAACCAACTTTATTTTTTATTTCGGGAAAATTCATGAGGTTAGAAAACATGTACGAAGAAGTCTTGACAAAACATTTATGAAGAAGTCATGAAAATTCAAGAGGGTAGAAAAGAGGGTAGAAGACAGGTTAGATCTAACCTTCTACCCTAAAATATATTTTTGTCGAAAATAAATGGGTCATTTACTCACAATATTTTTGTACAAAACGACCCCAAACTTTTAACTTCTTTTCTGCAGCTTCTAATGCTATCTTAGCGAGTTCATATTCTCTAAATTCTCTCTTTAAATCTTCTTGTTCCCATTGGTCTAGTTCGTATGGCGAGTCTCTATAACCAGAACATATCTCACGTTCATGTTCTATTTGTTTTTCATGCATTTTTCTAACTTCTTCTTCAAACAAAGGTTTTGCATTCTCTACTGTATCTTCAAGTTCTTCTTCATCTAACTTCTCATGAACTTTCTTGTCTATGGAGTCCATAATTTTTCCAACTGCTATACAATATTTTGGAGAAGCCCACATTGCAATATAGTTTACGAGTCTTGGGTCTACATACATTCCTCTAACCTGTTTGATTTCATCAGGAATTCCTGCATGAATTTTGTATAAAAAGCAACCCGCTGTTTTCCGCGGGTTGGTATATTCTTCACAAAATGCTTGTTTTGAGGTCGAGCCACTTTTGGCTCCACCTCTTTTTTCAACCAAAAACTCATTTTTGTCGAATTCAGCACTTTTCCGTAGTTATATATCAAAGACAATTCGAGATAAAAGTCATAGTACAATGGAATAATATGTTGCACACCGTTTGTTGTGAACCAAACTTGAAAGTCAGAGAAACTGTTACTAGGTGGTTCATAGAATTTAGAAGCAAAGTCATAAAAGTCCTTACCAATACAAAGAAAACTATTGTTGCTTGAACTGAAACTTGCATGACATATAACATTTTGAGGGTCAAACCTGTATGCTCGGGATGAAATTTCTTCATCTGATATAGTCCTACCAGTATTTGTAAAGATATAGTCTAACGGTTTTGTATCTGCTACTTTTGTTCTTTGTTTTTCAACCTGAAGCATTTAATATATGTAAAAATATACTGTTTTAAAATGGTATGCCATATAGCTTCTTGAATTTGTTAAGAAGTATTTGAACGTATTTTCCATCTGTATCTCTAGTGTTTACATAAGCATAGCCTTCCTTAGTAAAATATACTTGTAATTTCCTATAGTTTACGCCAGTATAAAAGTAGAAAGAGTCTTGTTCTTCGCTATAGTAGTAAAACTCAAACGTATGCTTGCCATAGTCTGTAATTTCAATTGTTTCATCTTCTAGTTCGTCGACAAATTCGAATACAATATCTCCAAATTTGCCTTTGTTCTTATTGTTTTCAGAACGAGTGACCCAACGTAAGTTTTCAAGTCTATTGTCGTTTCTTATATGGTTTATATGGTCTACAAAAGGTAAATTGTTAGGATTTAGTATAAAATGAGTTGCAATGACAACATGTTTAAGATAGTGTTTTCCACCCATCTTCATAATAGCATATCCGTCATTTCGCTCCCATTCGCTTAAAACTCTTTTTGTCTTTTTGTTTCTGACTTCAAATGACTCACAACAGTGAATTTCATATTTCTCATCTAACAAACAAGTTTCCCAACGGTCTGTTCCAACAAACTCAGCGTACATTTCAAATAAAATAAAAAAAATATTGTTTTAAAAAAGTTTTTATTTCATGCAATGTTTTATTTCTGTGCCGTCTTCAAGTATGCCCCAATATTTCCTTTTCGATATTACATGAACTTCGGAAAATACCTTATCTAGCTTAAAACAGCCCATCTTTTCACCGACCATTCCCATTTCAATGAGTTTGTTATAGCCTTCTTCGTTCGTCATGAGTGCGTCAATGTTCTCATAGTAAACCTTCACTTTGGATTTGACTTCGGAGAAGAATTTGTTGTAGTTGTCAAGGACTGCCTTTGCGAACTGAGGATAGGACCAATGTTCGACAATAGGTTTTAATGTGGTTACTAAGCCACTTTGACCTTGAGTGAACTCGTACTTCAAAACAAAAGGAGAAAACCTTTCAACAAAGTTGTCGACCTTCTCATAATGTTTACTCTTCATCTCTTGAGGTTTCTTAATGGAATATCCCCATGTCGAATTCATAAGCAATTTGAGTGTCATTGCAAGTTTGGGGTTTGAAGCTTTCCTAATATCATACAGTTGTTGTATGACTTTTCCAACTGTATAGTTCCTTCCCGAGAACTCACCATCTTCGTTTGGAATTCCAGTCGGGATATATTGGACGAACCTCATGTACGCAGCGTTAAGGTCGACATAGTATATCTTTTCATCTGAGTCGAACTTGTCGCATCCAATCGGACCAGTTCGTGGAAATTCAAGTGAGTCTCTTATCTTCTGAGAAACTTCTCCTGTTATCTCATAAACATCGTCGAAGCAACCTGTTTCATATAAAACCTTCTGACCTAACTCAGATGCTCTCCAATACAATTTGACGTCGATTGGATGCCTCAATGGAAGTTTGTTTATAGCATCTTGAAGTTCTTGCAACCTCATTGGAAGTTCTTCTGGTTCAGGTTGGTATCCGAACAATCCAACTCCTTTTGGAACTGTGTACTTCTTTTGTACTAGAACTTTGTCTGGAACAACTTTTGGTCTTGCTAACAGTGAAAAGTTTGTTTCGTCTTTTGGTACAAAACTTTCTGTCAGCTTGTCATCTGGAATTGGTTCCAACAAACCTTTCTCGAAAAGAATGTTTACAGCTCTGACAATGTTGCACTTGCCTTTTCCGAACAATGGGTTTGTAAGACTTTCGTTCAACATGAAGTGGTTGTGGACAATTACAATCTTCAACCATGGTAAGTCTTTGTCAACAACATAGTCGTCATGTGAAGAACCTTTCTCAGTCGGAATGTTGACTCGGATATTGACATTTGCCAACGGTGCAATTTTTGCCAATTGACCTCTGAGCATGTACCTTGTCTTCACACATGACTCAAGATACTTCATTTTCTCTTCTGAAACAAGACCAGAGTTCCTGAGACATGTAAGAATACAAGGTTCATTGACAATTGTTTCAATTGAATTGTAAATTCCATACCTGGTTAAGTTAATGTCAGACTTATTTATGAAGGGGAAGTATCCAGCATGTTGTCTGACTGCTTGAGGGTTAGGTTGGTACCATTCGAACTTGACACTTGCAATTCCTTCAATTGCATTCAAAATGTCTGAGTCGGAGTCAACCATTTGTTCTCTCTTTGTAGTCTTGAAAGCGTCAAGAAGCATTGCAGCTGTTGTGACATTGCCATGCGCATAGTATATATGACCGTCCAAATCTGTTATGGTCAATCTGAGATTGTATCCTTTCTTATTTCCATCTTGAATTGCAGCAAGTACTCCCATGAAGCCTTCTTTGTTCTTTCCTTCGTCAAAGTTTACTGTAAAGGTTCGACCAGATGTAATTTGACTTCTAACTTCACGGTACTTCTCATATGCATATCTTGTTCTTTCCATGGGAACATGTGCGTCTTCACCTTTTCCTTTTTTCCTTCTCAAAGGATGCAATTGTTCGTCATGTTTCCAGTAGAATCTGGCAAAGCCGTCGTGTCCTTCAACTTGAGGCTCAGAAACATCGAAAGGCATGTCCATAAGACGTTCTTCTTCTAACCTCTCGAGTCTGTTTGGATAATTGGCGCGCGCGGTTTCTAAGTCCATCTCGTAGCGAAGACCAGACAGTTTGTCATAGACTTTTATTGGCTTTCCCTTCCTATATTTAAACTTCTTCGAAACTTTCCAACCATATCTTTCTAACTCTGCTTTTATTCTAGCAGACCTTCTGTCCATTCTATATGGGGGCATTTTTATAAAAATAAAAAAATATTTTTTTTCTTTACTTTACATAACCACCTGCTGCCATAAGTCTTTGACGCCAACCCATACCAGCTAATGAAGGTTGACTTGGTTTAGTATTGAAACTAAACTTTGGTTTTGGTTTATCTTCCGTTTTTGGTTTCTCTTCTTCTATCGGTTTTTCGTCACTTTTCGGTTCCTCTGACTTTACCTCACCTGCAGGAACAGTTGTGTCGTCAACATCTTCATAAATATCATATGCCATTTGTTTTTGTTTTCCTTTCAACTTTTTGTGTTTGTTGTAAAGTTTAGAATATTTCGACTCTAAGTCAATGAGATGTTCTATAATGAACTGTTGGTCAGTGAAGTAAACTTTTCCATCTGTTGTCTCGAAAGCTCCTTCAGACTTCAATATTTTATTTGTGAGAGTCTGTTTCTTTTTTGAGATACTAGCCGTTCCATTTCTATGAAAAGTGACTTTGTAGTTAGGGTTTGTATTTCCAGACCTGGCACTTTCTATTATTGAATTTTTCTCTTCATCTGTAAGTTCTTTGACAGGTTTTGACAATGGTTCTGAACTTTTTGTTTGTGGTGTCAAATCTACCGTTTCAACTTCTTCGGTCATTTCATCTCAGTAAAAATTTTAGTTTGGTTTGTTTTCAACTGGTTGTTTAGGTTTTTTAAGTCGGTCTAAAACTTCTTGAGGTATAGGAAGAACTTGACAAACACGTGGTTGTGTAACTGCTGGAAGCCGACAAATCCATCTTGAACCCATTTGTCTCAATGCTGTATTGTTCATTTCATCTCAGTAAAAAATTTTACATTCCCCACGTTTGAGGCGGTTGAGGTTGGTTATTGTTTACCCACTGTTGTGCATGGTTATATCCTCTGTTAAAGAATCTTTCACCTTGGTCCATATAGTGTCCTGCTTGGTTATAGTAGTCATTTGCTTTGTTATAATAGTTTCCTGCTTGTCTTCCTACATTGTCCATCCATCCTTGAACTTTTCCTCTTGTTTCAGGATTTGGAATAAGATTTGCTGCATCTCGTGCTACATCCCAACCTTTCTGTACAGTTTGTATAATAGGTTGTGCTTTCTCTTTAAGTATACCTAATGTACTCAAAATCTTCCTTCCAACTCCAAATACACCTCTGGCTATTGTTCCCACTGCGGGCAAAAATCTGGATGCAACTCCTGCTAATGCGCCAAATAAACCCATTTCTTATAGGGTAAAAAATGACGAATCCAAACAAGGACCCCTATGTTTCTAAAGCGACAAAGAAAGCACTCATGGTAAAAATCTTTAGTTCAACACCAAATGCTTGGTTTATGGATATCTTGGAAAACATTCCGAGGTATAGAGAAGACGGACCACCATACTGGCTAATATTTGTCGGTCAAACACAAGATACTGTGAAGCCATACCATTACAGTCCAAAAATATTTTAGATGTGAAAACTGCTTTGACAATATTTGTTGACAAATACCATCCAACAAAACTGACATCTGACTGTGAAAGTTCTTTCAAATCAGACGATATTAAAAACTATCTGCGTTCAAAAAATGTAAACCAATATTTCATTGTCGACCAAAACCATTCTGCTCTTGGTGTCATTGACAGTTGTATAAAAATCTTAAGAGACTTAAACCAACCACAAGGTGGTGAGGTAGATGAAATGTCATATGACGACAAGTATAGACACTTCTCCATGGCAAAGATGAGACAAGTTTTAAATATTTACAATACCCGTAAACAAAAGGTTTGGGAAACCACTCCCCTGAAGAAATGAAAAAACAACCCCGACTTAGAGAAAGACTATATATTTAATAGTTTAGTCAAAAGAGACAAACAAGAAAGAATGCCAGGCTTCAAACTTAAGAAAGGTGACAAAGTAAAAATAGAAATACCTAAACGCGACCCATATGAAAATACTATTGACTATGACAACAATGGGAACTCGACAGGTACTCGCATTCGTGTTCGTAAAAATAGAAGAAAGTATACAAGAGAATATTATGAAGTTTTAGGCAAACATGGCAAAATGTACAGACTGCAAGCAGAAGATAAAACTACTATTGTCAGACCTCGTTTCAAACTTGTTAAGGTTCAAGGTGGTATACTTTCAAAGACTGTTCCTAACAAATATAAGACAACTCCTGACGAATATGCTAAAGAAGTTGAAAATGACGACTAAGCAATTCTATACCATGCGTAAACTGTCATGTAAGGTGGCATGTAGTCTTTACTTTGTCCCGTTGTTTGCGTATACCCTGAAACGAAATGTGTATGGTTTCCTTCTCCCTGAGTGTCACTCCAGTAACAATTTATAGCAAACTTAACGTCGTCTTTAACATCATATCCTTTACCTTTTGTCATTCCTGACCAATCCCAATATCTATGCTTATGCCAACCTGCTTGAGATGTACTTAAATCTATGTAGTGACTGTGTGCAGGTAAATTTTCACCTGAAATCGTTTTACTTCCACCTGTTTCCTTTGAAGAGTTTGCACAATACAAAAACCTGTCGACTATTTGAGTCCAAGTTCCAAAACCAAGTACTACTTCTGGTCTGGTAGAGTTCATTGACGTATAAATAGAACCTATAGGATATACTGTTTGAAGTATTTCTGTCTTTAATGTTTGAAGCTCTGTTTTGTCTGCTTTTTTATATAACTTTTCTTCAAGTTCATTTACGTCAGAGATGCTATGTCTATGATATTTTTGTGGGTATGTTCCTTCTGTCCATGCGAAAATACGTTCTTTTGTTGCATCTACATATCCTTTTATCCATGTCGAGTCTGCTTTTGTATTCCTTAACTCTGTAACACCTTTCTCAAGCTCTTTCAACTGTTGTCCATCTTCCATTAAACCTCTGGTATGACTTGAAACCGTTTGTGTCAACATATCTACAGTTTCTTTGTCGGCTTTAAGGTCTAAACATCCTGAAACCCATCCTGTATCGGCTTTAGTTTTTAAAATCTTCGATGTCCGTTCATGGTACCAGTCAACCCTTTTTATAATTTCATTGTCTTTTTCATCCACATATTCCTTATCTGCCTTCTTCACTAACCCACTAGCCAGATATGCTAACTCATCGTCAACATACTCTTTGTCAGCTTTCTTTTCAACATCCTCTTTTGTTGCATATGTTGCATCTGCTCTGTCATGTTCTTCTTGAACTTTTTCAATGACATACTCTTTGTCAGCTTTGTTGTCAATATCTGCTTTCAAAAGAAGTTCATCTATAGGTTCTCGTTTAAAGTTCTTTTTGTTGGATTTATACAAACAGTATGGTTCTTGTTGTCTTGAAATAGAAACTCATCTGTCATTGGGTTTAATGTCAGTTTTAAGTTTCCTTCTTTCAATGACTCAGATATCTTAGAATAGTTTGAAAAGTTTGTTGTGTTCTTATTTAGAGCTTGCATAATGAGTTGTCGGTTGTGTTGTATTTCTCTCATAGACGCTGTTTCATTTGACATTTTATTCTAGATAAAATATGCTTCCAATAGAAAAAGAAAATTCAAGAGTTGCTACAACTAAACCATTAGATGAACTTTTTACTAATGTCGGTCAAAAGTTTGAGACAGAGACCGTAAAGCATGAAGGCTATCGTTTTGACTACCCATTAAGATGGCTAAGAGACCATCTGTCACAAAAGCTATTGGCTTTCGTAGAATGAAGTTTGTGTCTGTAGAAGATAAAAGTTTTCCATTTATTGTAAGGTTTCATATAGATTATATATCTGAAGGGAAACGAAAAATGTGGGAAGAAATTGAGCTAATACAAGTTGACCTTTCATCTTCTCTACAGACTGCGTTAAAAAATATAGAAGATAAAATAAATTCATGTTATGCAAAATATGCTGATGAATATGCAAATACCGAGAGCACACTTTATGTGAGAATTGTATATGACAAACAAAATTCACAAGTGTCATTTCAAATCTACGAAGACAATCCAAAGAAAGACGAACAAATATATACAGAATTCACTGCAATGTCATGGTATTATTTGCAAAGAATGTTAAATCAGAAGTCGAACTTCCTTTAGCAAATATTTACAGTCGATATGCAAGAGATGAACCATATTTATTTAAAGATGTTTTCGACTCAGATGCTATTATAGTTCATGCTTCATTTTCTGGCGCCCAAAACTCTT